GACGAGTGTTTTAGCAATATGATTCTGGAGTACATACAACCTGTGAAAAGTCTGCTAATTTGTTAAATTATCATACACAGTTGATACTGAAATGAATTATATAGCCCACGGGTCTGGAAGATTATCGACTGTTGAATGGCCGGATAGTCAAACTGATAAAAGCGCTTTGACTAATTTGGAGTGGGCAATTGTCTCTGAGTATGGGTTAAAATTTAGAAGCTATTTATTGCTAATAAATCGTGCGGTATCGTATATAAGATTTGTAATCCACCCCAACATAATCGTGTGGTATAGTATACAAGATTTGTAATCCACCCCAACATAATCGTGCGGTATAGTATTAAAGATTTGTAATCCACCCCAACATAATCGTGCGGTATAGTATACAAGATTTGTAATCCACCCCAACATAATCGTGTGGTATAGTATACAAGATTTGTAATCCACCCCAACATAATCGTGTGGTATAGTATACAAGATTTGTAATCCACCCAACATAATCGTGTGGTATAGTATACAAGATTTGTAATCCACCCAACATAATCGTGCGGTATAGTATACAAGATTTGTAATCCACCCCAACATAATCGTGCGGTATCGTATACAAGATTTGTAATCCACCCAACATAATCGTGTGGTATAGTATACAAGATTTGTAATCCACCCAACATAATCGTGCGGTATAGTATACAAGATTTGTAATCCACCCCAACATAATCGTGCGGTAAAGTATATAAAATTTATACTGGTTGGTTCAACTAGAAACTCTAGTGCGGTATAGTATATAAAATTTATAGTGGTTGGTTCAACTAGAAACTTTTTCAGTTCATGACATTAAAAGACAATCTTTGATCCGGTCATTATTTGATATATAAATCAAGTAGCAGTGTATTTAATTCAAGTAGATGTGATTGTCAGTTATGTCGTCTATAATAATAGTTTTATATTCGAGTCCATAATTCAACAACCTATGTTAAAGATAAAACAATACAAATTAGATCATTAATTAGCCGCGGTTGTTTTTAGGTTTTTTGTTCTTTTATTGTTTTTTTTCCTCTAGATCAGTAGCTCGCCAATTATTTATCTTCTATTAAACATACATTATGTGATGGATAATGGTCGAAGAGGCTATTATAAAATTTAAAACATAGCACCCAAGAGATAACAAATAATGGATGGTTTTCTAACAACAAGTCATAAAATAATGGATATATTCTTAAAACAACTGTTATTGTGTGTCTTTCTATATATTTTATTACTATTTAATTTTAGTCAAAATAGCAATTGACCAATGTCCGAATTGATATCTCACTAATCTTTCAAGTATTTTAAAGATACATTATGGGAGAATCGATAACGAGTTGACAGTTCTCACTATAATAATTAAAAACTAGATAACGTAAAGGCAATTTGCTGAAAATTTCATTTAAATTGATCCACTATGGACCGAGAACTAAGCGAATGAAATTTCTGCCTAGCCTCGGACAACTTTGTAAATTTCTAAGTCCATTATGGGCCGCTTCCCGTTATTTCCCTTTAAATTAAATTAGGCCTTGAGTGAATTAGACATCAACCTGTCAAAAGAAAACGAAATACTGCGAATTTTGACTTGACACCTAGAAATGGACATAAATGGGTTGCAACGCAAATACGCGAAGAGTCCAAATTGAATGGCAGTCTTTGGCGTCTGGTTATTCAAGTTTACACCCGCATATAGTATTCTCTTGGGTACATTTAACTTCATTCTTCGAGTCTCTCTATTACAAATGAAACTCGAAAGCATTCTTGCACGCGATTCGTGTGCCAATTTTAAAACTTTCACTTTGTGTTAAATATTGGACATTAGAAGCCCATCTTTTCACGGTTACAACATTGATGTTGGGTTTAATTAAACAATGAGTCCCATGGTTGCAATGTCGAAGACTGTGGATGATATTGAGTTAGAGACTTGACTCCTTTAAAGACTGATTGAAAAGCTTACTAAATATCGAACCAAATTCATCACACAAGTAAATTGTTGGTTGTCTCACCTGTTCAAAACATTTTGAATGTTATCGCTAGACTCTAGCTTTATACACTTGGGGGGGGGGGGGCTGAATGGTTAGCGTGCGCGCGCTGTATCATAAAGTCTGTCATTGAGTCGACCGGCGTGGTTTCGAATCCCCGGTTGTACGTGACAAGGAGTAGGGTCGCCTGTCCAACCTCGTGGGTTTTCTCCGGGTCCTCCGGTTTCCTCCCACTGCTAATAAGTATGTAAATAAAATTAAACCATATGTTAGTCCCGAAATGACCTAGTTTGTGTCGAGTGGACGTTAAACCCCATTTCTCTCTCTCTCTTTATACACTTAGTTGAAATAAGAAATTTGAATCGACATCACTGTTAAAAAATACGTCTCCGTCTTCTAACTTACTTGGCAGACATCATTGAAAGGGTAACGCACAAATTTAAGAACTCGGCCATATAAGATGAAACGAAATTTAGGTAAGCCTGGTGCGAAAAAATTGGGATTTTTGAAAGAATTTTATTGTAAATTATTGTAATTTAGCTAGGCAAAGCAATAAATCACTGAAGATTCTCAACTTTTCAAAGATTTAATTTTTTTTTCTCCCAGGCTTACTTAAATTTCGTTTCAATGATGTCCGCCAAGTAAGTTAGAAGACGGAGACGTATTTTTTAACAGCGTGTTGTGTCGCTCATACTGACTCTAGCCAGGTAAGCAAGGTCTTATTTTCCCACTAAGATGTTCATTTATATTGTTCAGGCGTTCACAGGGACTGACACGCGACCGTTTCGCAGTAAAAAGTTGCCCAGTAAAATTGACTGGGAAGCCAAACTTTGTCGCCAAGGCTTCAATAGAAGGGTCCCTGGACGTAGAGTCGAGTGAAATGAGATCTACGTTCAGAGCTGGATTACGTCCGCCGTATCCTTTCTTCACTTTACCAGCGTGACATTGAAGCTTAAAGAAGAAGGGAAAAATCAATGTTTTTTTTTTCTTTTAAATCTAATTCTAAGAGACGAAGACAATTGGAAAACGGATGTACGATTATTTTTTCAATTTGTTTTCAAAAGAAAGAATACGACTTTAAACTGGTAACCACCAAGGCTCATCAGATGGGTTACCTCTAGCTATAACAGGAAATAAATGAAACACATCTAGTATATTATTATATTTCAATCACTGTAATATTTGTAATCAATGTCAGTTCAATTATGCAGGTGTATATGCTCATGAATATTGATGTTGTACATTTACTAATAAAATTACCCTTGACTTGAATTAAATCAAAACCCCACCAAAATGCAATTATAGCTAATGGATGTGCGTGCCAAAGTATGCCAGGAGTTACGTCCTGATCATACCGAATTTTATTTTCTAACCATTTTTGCACGGGTATCGTTCCTTTGACCCAAATAGGGTTGTATAAGTGTAGTTTAATGGTCGAGAGCGAGACATCAAGTAATATATCTATATATTACGCAATGTCTTGCACGAGACCATTAAACAACTTAAAATATAGACACTATCCAGCACGTGCATATCAATGAAATACGTCACGCGGGGCCAAAATTTCAACTAGTATAAATAATGTACGCTTGACACATTGCCCGTACCATTACGTCAAATAATGCTAGGCCAAAGAATGACGTCACATCTGTATTTTAAAGTCTAATAGAGAAAGGTCGGAACAATGAGAGAATGTTAAGCATGACTAAATATGTATAATGGGTCAGACGATAACGTAATGTCGATATGATATTGATATAATTCATAGTAAAAATAAATGGCTAATATTTTTTACATGAAACATCCGGTGTTATGTTAGTTTATTATGCGTTCTAGTACGATGGCTATACACGGACACAATATCCGGGTTGGTGATTTAATACAATTTAACACGTGCATGGTTTCCCGGAGAACATCTACAATCATGTTCGTTTTGTGTTGGGTTTTTTTATTATTTCATTTCAATGAATAAGTATTCAATTTTTCTCCGTGATAGATATGCATCGGGAGCTATGATAAAAGCCTGCTCGAACAATCATTCTCCGTGAGGGGGGTTGGATGGCCGAATGGTTAGCACGTGCGCGCTGTATCATAAGGTATGTCATTGAGTCAACTGGCGTGGTTTCGATTTCCCGGTTGTACGTTAAAAGAAGTAATCTAGGGTCGCCTGTCCAACCTCGTGGTTTTGTCTGGGTCTTCTGGTTTCCTCCCACTGCTAAACACCCTTACGCTCAAGCGAATTATTGAAATAAAATTAAACCATATGTTAGTCGCGAAATGACCTGGTTTGTTTCGAGTGGACGTTAAAGTAGCTAAGTCTCTAACTCAATATCATCAAAAATTTTCGACATTGAAAACACGAATTATTTGTCTATTCAAATCAACATTGGTCTTGTGATCTTACAGGGAAAAGGTGGGCTTCTGATATCCAATATTCAAGACAAAAGTAACATTTTACCATTGGTACACGAATCGTGTACCATAATGCGTTTCAGTGCCATTTGAAACAAGGGACTCAAAGAACAGGGCTAGACATATTCCACAAGTCATGTCAAATGGTGACGCTATATTCTTATCTTGAGAGCATGCGCAATAAATACCATCGGTGTAAACTGGAAAAACCAGACGCTAAAGATTGCCATTCACATGAGACTTCTGGCGTATTTCGCCGAACATAACTGATTAGAAATTACAGTAAAAACAGAAACGATTGAATGTAAATCAGTTTATATACATTCATATTACATTATTATATGCATTGCGACCCATTTTTGTCAATTTCTAGGTCCCAAATATTAGCGATTTAGCTCCTTTATACCCAATTTCTATCCCTCTCATTCTCCGTCAATAGGCAGACAAAATTGGGCCAGTTAACACGAGATAAATAGGCGTCGAACCGATGACATATGGATAATAATCAAACATTTTCCACTCTGTTCAGTGAGACTTCCCATATTAGGGGCTTTACGATCATCTTTCATACACATCTTTGACAAACCGTCATGCGGGTTAGATCGTTCTGCCATCACACTAAACACTTATCAGATTATATTTATCTGGTTCCCCAATCAGCGACACCCTTCTCGTTTCAAACAGGGATATCACCGAGACCCTAGTCGTTTAAAACAAGGATATCTATAATAGTTACGTGGTGTTAAAGGATTTAGTTTCAACACGGACATTATTCAGCCAGGGTTTGTGGTAATTATAACTTTATATTACATTCACGATATCTGTATATGACGTGGGATATTAAAGGGGAATGCACCCGAGGTGTTTGGTTACAATCCCGTTATCTGTATATAACGTAAGATATTAAAGGGGAATTCAGCCGAGGTGTTTGATACAACTTTACATTACATTGTTAAATTTGATAGATTATTGATTTCCATTTAGCTCTATAGTAAAGCTGTAATAATAAGAAATGAAAGTAGTAGCAGTAGCAGTAGCGGCAGTAGTAGTAGTAGTAGTAGTAGTATAGTAGTACTAGTAGTAGCAGTAGCGGCAGAGAGAAATGGGGTTTAACGTCCACTCGACACAAACTAGGTCATTTCGGGACTAACATAATATGGTTTAATTTTATTTCAATAATTCGTTTGCGCGTAGGGGTCTTCTTTAGCAGTGGGAGGAAGCCGGAGGACCCGGAGAAAACCCACGAGGTTGGACAGGCGAGTAGTAGCAGTAGTAGTAGTAGTCGTAGTAGTAGTAATAGTAGAAGTAATAGTAGTAGTAGTAGTAGTAGCAGTAGCAGTGGTTGTAGTAGTAGTAGTAGTAGTAGTAGTAGTAGTAGTAGTTGTAGTATTAGTAGTAGTAGTAGTAGTAGTGGTGGTAGTAGTAGTAGTAGTAGCAGTAGTAGCAGTAATAGCAGTAGTAGTAGAAGTAGTAGTAGTAGTAGTAGTAATAGCAGTAGTAGTAGTAGTAGTGGTGGTAGTAGTAGCAGTGGTAGTAGTAGCAGTAGTAGTAGTAGTATTAGTAGAAGTGGTAGCAGTAACAGCAGTAGTAGTGGTGGTAGTAGTAGTAGTGGTAGTAGTTGTAGTAGTAGCAGTAGCAGTAGTAGTAGTAGTAGTAGTAGAATAGTAGCAGTAGCAGCAGTAGTATTAGTAGTAGTAGTAGTAGTTGTAGTAGTAGTAGTAGTAGTACAAGTAGCAGTAACAGCAGTAGTAGTGGTGGTAGTAGTAGTAGTAGTAGTAGTAGTAGTAATAGTGGTAGTAGTAGTAGTAGTAGTAGTAGTAGTAGCAGTAGCAGTAGTGGTAGTAGTGGTAGTAGTAGTAGTAGTAGTAGTAGTAGTAGTAGTAGCAGTAATAGCAGTAGTAGTGGTGGTAGTAGTAGTAGTAGTAGCAGTAGTAGTAGTAGCAGTAGCAGTAGCAGTAGTAGTAGTAGTAGCAGTAGTAGTAGTAGCAGTAGTAGTAGTAGTGGTTTGGAGTGATAATGTCCCTTTAACGGGGATATTATTCACCATTCAGCTATGATTTTGTTACAGTATTCTTTTATTTAGAATCTATTCATACATGAAATAATATCAAATATCTCCAGCATTACGGGTATCGTGTTAAAAATAATACTGAAGTATCGCCCGGGTGCGCTTCAAAGGGAGATTGGGCACTTGGGTCCGTATGTACTAGGATTTGTGTGTGAGACTATTGTCAACTGTAGGCCCGTTATTGGGAAAATTGACTTGTAGTAGAGTTGTATCAAACTGAAGGTGGAAGCCACGGTGGGTAAGTGAGTAAGACGCTGGCTCGCTGCGTGTTCGATCCCGGTGTTGGTCGAGAAAGTTCGTCGGGACTGAGGGCCTGACCAGGACAGCTGCCTTGTCGTTAGAATGGGACTAATAACTGAGATCCCGTGTACGCAAAAGATCCCTTGGCAGTTGGAATTTGATATAAAAGTGGTTAAAATCCCCATGTAACATATGCCACGAACCTCAGTCGGTTATAACAGACGACCCACACTGTATTCTGTATGCCCGTCTTCATTAGCCCAATCGGAGCAGAGCAGTAGGACGTTAAACCCCATTTCATTTATTTCAAACTGAAGGTTCAATATTGACAACAAGTTGGCTTCCAATAGAGGTATATCTCAGGTAAGGAGTTAGGCGTCACATCGATATAAAAACCTAGATAAGTATTTATATACATAATTAGTTTATGGCTGCGTGGTCAACTAATTCTTGATATTCTGGCAAAGAAATACCCCCACCCCCACCACCACCACTGGCAATTGTCAGCGAATTGTCACTTTGATTAATATCGTATCGGAAGTGATTCAACCAGTTTCAAACAGGACATATTTTTTTTATGATTTGTTTTGTGATGAACAGTGCAGAATTTTAGATAGCATGTATGTCCCTGAGAATACCGAGTGAGTATATTGTAGTATTTGTTTTCCCTCTTAATTAGCCCGGTTAGAACAGAAAGATTGGACGTTAAACCCCATCATCTACTGCCGGACATTTCCTATAGGATATCCTGTCAGACTGAAGCCGAGGGTCGTAACATCAAGGGGAAATCCAACCTAGGTGTATTATATTTTTGAGACTTTCATAAGTCCTTTTTACCTGCACTGTAATCCGTCGTCATATATCCTTGACGTTACTTAATTGTGTTTAAATTATACTTTCATCTTGATGGTCGGGGTGGGGGGGGGGCTCATCATTTGAATATTCTAGGGCCTCTCTTCATCAACATTGGACACAAGCCCGAATTAGTTGAATGCTAATATTAATTTTAAACATGAGAAAACCAATCGCTGTTGATGAAGCGACATATAGAAATCGTTCACAAAATACAACTAGCCCTAGAGATCGGACATGGTCTGGAATATTAATGACATAGAATGTGTTTAACGTGTTTAGTTTACAACCTAAACAAAAACAGGGCTCGCAGAGATTTGACGACCTTTTATAAAACTTAAACTGGGCTACTTATTTACTTCCATGTATCATATTGCACGAACCTTGCTCGGTTCTAAAGGACGACAAGAGACGATTCCACGCGTCCCGGTTGAGCTATAGAGTGATCAATCAACACCAGCATGGAGGACTAGTCACCTACTGTATCCGGTCAAGCTACTTTCGCTTTCATTTTCCAAAAGGATTTGGCGATTTTCTCATCGACGATTTCCCTTCTTAGAATTATACAAGGGTTGTATGAAACGCTCACCATGATTCACAATAACAGGTTGACGACCGCCCATTCTAATGTAAAAGTATTATTCAAGATTGAGAGGCTATAGATTACAGCTCATGTGCTGAAGTAGCTAGTGTACGTTTTAAAAAAATAACGGCCCTAACTATGATCCCTGGTGAACACCACATTTTATTTCAAATGAAACGATTCAGCCATCTTAGTTCTGCAGGATTAATCAGCGTCTGGCACGAACAAAGTGTGAATCAAGCTTCCAAAATCTAAGCCTTAAAAATATGTATTTTAATTTGTTTGAGGTTTATTCTTTTACATAGAGATAGATTATTGGTCATTAAATGAAATGAAATGAAATGGAGTTTACCGTCCTACTGTTCTGCTCCTATACTGTGCTAATGAAGACGAGCATACGCCATACAGTGTGCTATGAGGGAAATTTTGCCCGGGCAGCGGCACTATCGCCTACTCTTATATCGAATTCCAACTGCCAAGGGGTCTTTTACGTGCATTCTAATGTATACACACACGAGAGCTCGGTTTTTCGTCTCATCCGAAAGACTAGACGGCTGTTCTTGTCAGGCCCTCCGTTCTGCACCACTGACAAGGGGAAACCACGTCAGAAAATCTGGATGAACTTTCTCGGCCAATGCAGGAATCGAACACCCGACCTCCAGGCTAGCGAGCTATTAATCATTAACCTAGTTTGTGTTAAATTAAACATGAGACTATTATTGAAATATTATTTATATAACATTGTAACTACAGGTAATACTATAAACAGGTGGAACTCCAGTCTGATTTAAAGTTGGTTTAGATGTCAGCCTAGAATTAACTGTCTACAGGGATATCCAACCATGGAGCTAGCGTTACTACTGGTCGTACTGGTGGCTGTTGCTATATTTACTACACTGTTATTGACCGGTTATTACATTTTAAATAGTAAGTCTGGTTTAATTAGAGAGAGAGAGAGAGAGAGAGAGAGATATGTATTAACGTCCAAAAGCTATGTCATTTCTTGACTAGCATAATATTTCAATAATTTGCTTGCGTGTAAGATGCCTTTAGCGGTGGGGGGGGGGCAAAACTCACGAGGTCATAGTAGAGGCAGGGGATCGAAACCACGTGACTTAACTCAATGACAGACCTAATGGTCTAAAGCGCACGTGTTCAACCATCCGAGCGACCAACCCCCTTACCCTTTAGAGATCTTCAACAGTCAGTAAATATATATCAAAGTATCGCTATATGATCACACAGTAATAACAGGATTGTATCCAAAATAGTATAGATACAAATACTTGGAATGTCCTCCTTCGTTCTTGGGGTTTAACGTCCGTTTCCAGTAAGATATCGCAGACTACACATTAAAACGAACAGTATTTACAAATTTTCTATCGGCGTATTGTCCCTTTAACCCACGTCTCAAGTTGCACAAAAAGTGTACACAGTTACTAGGCTATTAGTCATTTGTTGACAAAGGTACATTACTTGTAAGCGGAAATTACGAATAAACGATTTGTAAAGAATAAAATGAATATCTTCTTTGAGCGATATTTAGCAAGTGACACGGGTAATATCACATTAACATAGTATGGAACACAATTACTGATATAAATAAAACGACGTTACACTGAAGGTTCTCTCAACACAATAACATAGTATGGAACACAATTACTGATATAAATAAAACGATGTTACACTGACGGTTCTCTCAACACAATAACATAGTATGGAACACAATTACTGATATAAATAAAACGACGTTACACTGAAGGTTCTCTCAACACAATAACATAGTATGGAACACAATTACTGATATAAATAAAACGACGTTACACTGAGGGTTCTCTCAACGTTATCAAGCAGTTGACTGTTTACAGTGACTGTTTACAGCGCTTAGTCCTCATTGGAGAGAGAGAGAGAGAGAGAGAGAGAGAGAGGGGGGGGTAACGTCCACTCGACACAAACTAGGTCATTTCGGGACTAACACACGATTCAATTTTATTTCAATAATTCGCTTTAGCGGTGTGAGGAAACCGGAGGACCCGGAGAAAAACCACAACCGGGGAATCGAAACTACGCCAGTAGACTTATAATGAAAGACCCTATGATACAACGCACACGCGCTAACCATTCGGCCATCCAACCCCAAGTCCTCATTAGAGAAAATTGAGATCATATATACTCTGTTTTGGGATAAATGTCCACATACTTAGATAAGAGATAAGTAAATACATTAATACTTAGTAAATAATTCCTTTTTTTAGGGATAAAATGCCTAGTGCGGAAAGTGAAAATAATATTACTAATAAACCTACTTCCCTTTATTCTACCCAGATGAAATTCAGTCAATGTTTTAAACCACCTGGGGCCATGTTGGTTCGATGAGGTCCCGTGTTCGATCCCTGTGTTGGCTGAGAGAGTTCCTCCATGTCAATGGTACATGACGAGGGCATGGCAAGGGGGCAACTTATATAGTCCGGATAAGAGAGAGAGAGAGAGAGAGAAATGGGGTTTAACGTCCACTCGACACAAACTAGGTCATTTCGGGACTAACATATGGTTATAATTTTATTTCAATAGTTCGCTTGCGCGTAGGGGTCTTTAGCAGTGGGAGGAAACCGGAGGAAACGGAGAAAACCCACGAGGTTGGACAGGCGACCCTACTCCTTACCACGCCAGTCGACTCACTGACAGACTTTATGATACAGCGCGCGCCCGCACGCTAACCATTCAGCCATCAAACCCCCCAGTCCGGATAAGGTCTTATGTACACTTTGTGTTCACGTAATAGAACCTTGGTAGTTATTATTCGATATAAGAGTGGGCTTTAGCGCCGTTGTCGGTGCAAACTTCACCTCATAGCAGACTATATGGCGTGTGCCAGTATTCATCAGTCCAGTCTGAGCAGAACAGTAAGACAACCTCAATTCATGTCATTTTAAACGACCACCGTATAAGTAGTAACAATTGTTCTCAACAGCTAAAACCAGTCGCACGAAATCGTCTGTATTGTTTATGTGCTAATTATGTTTTATAGAATGCTGTAAACGAAGACGGAGGAGGCCCTGTGTTGTTGATAAAAGACGAGACTCTAGGCATAGCTTTGCAGTAGATCCACACCTACACGACAATGGCCACTGTTTCCGAGACTACGAGAACGAAATGGAAAACGGCAACCAGTTTCCGCAGGAATCAACCCTACACAAAAACAACGATTGTTTTCAAGAAGATGTGGAAATATCCGATAGTAGATCGGACACGGTTTTTATAGAACCAGAAACGTTTAACGACGTGAATGTACCGCTAAGATCACAATCTCGTGTCGTAGACGATGTCACGTCTCGGAATGGTTCAAGCCCTACAGAAGAACGTTATCCAAGATTGAGCAATATTCAAAGATTGATAGATTATAGATTGAACAGACAGTCATCTCAGTGTTCACTATCAGAAAGTCAACAAGACTTGTTGAAAGCTGTGTCTACAAATATTCAAACTATAATCTCAAAAGGTATAATATGGCTAGACCTCCAATATGATTAAAACATAGATACTATTTCGTTTCGTGTTTTATAGTTCAAAATTTCCTTTTACTCTTCATGTCGTTGGAGAGCCAGATCTGTTAACCAAGGCCAACTACACCTTTCACCAAGTTTACGACTTGTAAACAGGGTTAGGGCACGTGATTTTTGCCGATGATTATTGGTGATGGTAAGGCTTAGGGCTAGATTTTGGGTTAGGGTTAGGAAATATGCAGGCAGCCTTGGTAAATAGATCTAAACGAAACTAAATATAGATCTGTACTGTAATCACATGGCTAGACCCCTTTTCTTTTTTCTTTTTTTTTCTTTATTATAAACTGGTGTTAGATTTGCTAAAACGAAATCATGTGACTCAAAGCGAGTTGAAATCTGAAAACCTGTTGTATAAAACAGTACGATCAAGAAGTTATTGGTCATAAAAGATGTATGAGCTAAGACTCATGCGTTAAATTAAGTAACCACAAAACAACTAATTTCAACATAAGTAGTAATAGATCTCGTGTACGGGGCAGGCTATGCTTACTATTTCTAGAATTTTGAATAACTTGTGTATATGAAGTGTTATTATCGTCAATATTATTTTGGTTCTATTTTTAGGCTATCTGATTGGATATAAACCACATGATGAAATCAAGCAATATATTGAAAACAGTTCGACAGATTTTAACGTTATAGATGAAGTCACAGAAAGTTATAAAGTAATGGATAAGTCTACTAACAGCACCAAATCACGTCTGAGTGAACCTTTTCCTAACTGTCTAAATCTTGAAGAAGATTCTTTTTCTCGTCGCATTAAAGATTCCAACATGTCTACGCCAAAAGAACTACAGAGCAATGGGGACAATGCGACTCTATCGTTAACCGAATATCCGACTCTCCCGTTAACCGATTATCCAACTCTCCCGTTAAACGACTATCCGACTCCCCCGTCAACCGATTATCCAACTCTCCCGTTATCACGTTATCCGGTTAATCGCCAATCGCTTTGTAGTGTTGGATTGTCGCTTGGTATAGAAGATAGCGGACTGTTCAGTAATGCGAGCATAGATGACATATTTCACCAGCAGGTGTCGTATGATCATATCCGGGGAGAAAATATAACTGAGACTTTTTATCAAACCGTTGATGGTTATCAGCTTGATGAATCCGGCTCCGAACATATTTACCAGTCTATTAACAGTTTATGGACGGATGTGCTGGCTAGAAGACAAAATAGTTCACAGACATTCAATGAACCGGTTGGTCTGCGTCAATCTGGGGACACCGACGATGTGCCTTACTATTTACAACCGCTTAACACACTTGAAAGACAAGGTTGTCAAGAAACAGGTACGAGTGGGGATAATCCAGTTGTCGACAGAAGTTATGATTATCCAGTTGTCAACAGAAGTTATGATTATCCAGTTGTCAACAGAAGTTTGAATTATTCTGACTCGGAGGATGGTTATCAACCAATCGATGATAGACTTGATTGTCCAGACAAGGAAAGAGATGTCGAAAATAGATATCATCCAGGTGTATGTAAGCACCTGGAAACGGGTGAGTCAAAAAATAGTTTTAAACCAACAGACAGTTGTGAACGGAATTCCAATTCCGATGATAGTTATGAACCGATTGACTTAGGACCGGATTGTCCAAACAAAGTGTCTCAAAATAGTGATCAACACGCCAGCATTTATAGACGTGATTGTTCGGTGACAGAGAGTGTCTCGAGGGCCATTGATCAGTTGATTGACGCTGTGAGCACAGATGATGCTTCAGAAGCAGGTCATCCAGGAGCAGATGGTGACGAACCAGATGATACAGAAGATGAGAATTATTATAACGGTTTCGATTCTAGTGATCCTTTAATTGGTGAGCGGAGAGTTTGTCGTTTTTATCCAGTGAGGAAGGTTTACACCATCTCTCCACGAAGAAATTATAATTTCCACCCCAATGGCGACTGCGGTTCCGTTTTAATCGACTTTTCACAGCTTTAAACTAAACGCTGTTATACGGTATTTCATTTTGTGCTTTATTATGTAATTTGTATTTTCAACCATGACGCACGTGTAAGAGTTGATCTGCTGCGGTTGTGTTGTGGTTGTATAAAATCTGATTACAATTTGAAGCTTTGTTCAGATTACGTGAAATTATCAGCCAATTAGACGCTAGGTTTAGATCACGTGAACTTATAAGCCAATGGGCGTCCTAGCTAGAGGTAAAGGGGCATAATTTATAGGTGAGGCGGTCCCACGTGACCTTATTGTTTACCTTACAACATTGTTTTCCAGTACATTCATTACGAACTGGTGTGTTGACAAACGTTAGTTTTGGTCGTTAATATTGAATTTAATCCCGATACGGGTTTCTTACCATCGATAAGGTCAAGTGGAACCGAGTTTTTACTAGCGACGCCTGGTGGGAATTCCTTCAGCGAGGACGCCAATTAGACGATATGTCCCATCTGTATTGGCATATACCGATGTTGCGTTGTGGATAGGTTTGTAATGTTTTCTCAGTGAATAGATCTCCATATTGGTTTTATCAGCAACAAATATAAGATTATATTAGTGTATACGATTAGACATGAATATTGTAGTGTCACAATTTATAAATCTGGTTAAACTACAGATCTAGATTTCGTTTCATTTTTTTATGCTTTCGAAATTTTGAATTAAAAAACGAAACGAAATAGGATGTGTTTCTAATTAAGAATGATGATGTCTCCAAGAATTATGTTTATCAACTTCAATGATTGTATTTAAAAAAAGTCCACAGTCGGTATCACGGTAGTAACGTACTTGTACTGTAACGTCCTTGTACATGAGAGTAATGTACTTGTACTGTAACATACTTGTAACGTGATTGTACGTGACTGTGACGTACTTGTACTGTAACATACTTGTAACGTACTTGTAACGTACATGTACTTGTACTGTAACGTGATTGTAACCTACATGATTTTAGTCAGTCGTATTTTTTGTATTGGTAGAAAATTAATTTATAATTGCGGTAATTGACGTCATTTAATTGACCCTAATACTTCGTCACTGCCAACATGCTTAATTTTACATTTTATTTTCATTTTTTGTGTGGTTTACTCTATTGGTCTCGGTTAACTGACCTAGCCGTCGCGGCTTGTCCAATATTACAACTATTTTTACTTCTGTACTGTATTTACCAATGTCACCGAAACCTCGTAAACGGTGTATAATTTCTGATAATAGTTTCCCGCACTTGCTCAGATTGTTCGGCTATTCATTGGTAACAGGTATCTCGGATCATTGCTCCTGATACAGAAATCCTGATCTATATTATTTTCCAAAATTCTCGGGAATGTTTTGTCGTTGATTTCACCAAGGCTGAAACTGTACAAGAAGTGTATCGCCTGCCTAAGCTAGTGTGTTTTCCCCGGTTTCATGCCACTGCTAAATAATTGCCATACCATGTTGTTCTCGAATTGACCTAGTTTATGTTAAATACCATGTTGGTCTCGAATTGACCTAGTTTATGTTAAACATAAATAAGGTGAGAGCTAAATCTGCCTATTGCAGGTCTTTAGGTCTGAAATATTGACTAAATTATTAATAAGACATTAATTAAGTTATCTTTAGTGGATTTTAATAAATTTTGTGATGGATAATTTAACATAATAAATGGACAATCGAGACTTTGCTAATTATAGAAACAACATCAGTAATGATGATCGAGGCTATCCGAAAATTGAATCGCTAATTTCTTGGTTCAGAGTGAAGCTATTTGGCTGAAATTTTCAGCATTTTCTGTTTTCATTATCTATTTTTTAACTATTAAAGCAAGAAATATCAGGTCTTTATCTAATCTTACCGAATGCCCCTTTAAGTGGACGTTAAACCCCATCTCTTTGTATTTGTTTCAAAACCCCATGTGGGTGAGATTGTTTATCTGTTAAATATTGTTATACTGTACGTTTTACGTTAAGTTTGTTTACTGTTTAGAAATGTTTTATACTCTTACAAGTTTGCCTATTGTTTTATTTTAGGTCAAGGTTGCTCTGATGTGACCTTTAAATTAGCGCTTGGACAAGATCCCGCTTTTTTTTTTTATTGATTTTGGTTTAATTTGTAGACAGTGGAACACAAGGTCGTTATATCGATATCTTAACACTGACGTATGTTTGGTATTTTTGAAGCGAGATATTGTGATATGTCGGTCGGTTAATGTAGTTAATGTTTATTGACTAATTTGTTTGCATTGGATCGACAGTCTACAGGTTAAATCTATTTGATGAGGCACAATACATAATTAGGAGACAGGGCTAGCACTAACCCTATCCCAAGACGTAGCCCTACGTCTTACCCTAACCCTAACCCTCGGCAACCCTAACCTTGTTTAGATCTCGGGACCTTGAGGAAATATGAATTTGACCTTGTCAAATAGATATGATCATAGTAACAATCACAATGCCTCGTTTTCAAAAAAAGCAATATCCGGTGTCAATGGTGAAGGCAGTGTTTATTTTTAAACGTAAATTTTCATCACACAAATCAAATAAACGATTTTATGTTTTACCCGGATCAACTCATTTTAAGCTTGTTTACCTGTTATAATTTTATTATTCTATTTTAAGCATTTATTTTTTCTTTATAATATTTGTAATAATTATATAGCTATGTGCAACTATTTGTAATAAACTTGTAAGGCCGTGTGCAACATTTTGTAATAATAATAAACATGTAAGGCCGTGTGCAACTTTTTGTAATAAACTTGTAAAGCCATGTGCAACTCTTTGTAATAATAATAAACATGTAAGGCCGTGTGCAACTTTTTGTAATAAACCTGTAAAGCCACGTGCAACTATTTGTAATAAACCTCTAGGGCCGTGTGCAACTTTAAATTTAATCCAACGCAATCTGATTAAAACACGGATCCTATCTGGTTTTTCACTTTTTATAGTTCAAAATTTCGTTCTACTTGTCTTTACTACACTAGGATCTGTTTTACTAAACTACACTAGGAGTTGTTATATAAGGCGCGTTCAGGTTGATGTGAGGGATTAGCCATTGAAACAGTCTGTTGCTGCGAGTTCTTGGCGTGCGATGTACGGAACTGTTGGTATCCTACTAGAAACATCAACGCTGATTGGTTAATTAAATTTCTAACGTCATAGTGTCAAAGGGTCGCTCGTATGACCCCTGACGCGACCTTCCACTACAACTGGTCAGATCTTCATGTAGTAGAGACCATCGAAGTATAAAAAACGAAACGAACTATAGATCTGTATTTTAATCAGATTGAATCAATCGGTAAAATATGGTTAGCACGTGCACGCTGTATCATAAGGTCTGTCATTGAGTCAACTGGCGTGGTTTCGATTCCCCGGTTGTACGTGACAAGGAGTAGGGTAGCCTGTCCAAACTCGTTGGTTTCTCCGGGTCCTCCAGTTTCCTCCCACTGGTAAAGACCCCAACGCGCAAGCGAATTATTGAAATGAAATTAACCATATGTTAGTCCCGAAATGACCTAGTTTGTGTCGAGTGGACGTTAAACCCCATTTCTCTTTCTCTCTACATGATGGACAAACAGGAATGTGTGACAAGGCGTATGTCCAGGGTTAATTATCTCCTACATTCATAGTAATGACGTCGGACAAACAAACGTCCATATTTACGTATAGCAGAAATAATGTCTCCGAGCTGAGTTTATAATTTATCTAGTGACCCTCACACCTCACACCAAACTTGGAGTTATTGTCACCTCAATCCCCCGCTTCTCAAATTCCTGGACACGCCCTTGTGACGCTCTCGAAATAAATAGAAGATTTATTCATAATTTCTTTGATTAAAGGCTCAATACCACTCTTGTTGTAACTGAATAATATGTCCCAATCTTTATTCTGGTCAACAAATTGTACTATTTTAGAATATTTCAATCAATTGATACAAATTTCATCTTAACACACCTTATTTAAAAATTTTTAAAAATTCAACATAATGGTTTGAAACGTCTAACGTAAACCTTTTCAAATGAAACTTCGATTTAAAAATATTTTCGAACCCTCTGGACAAGTAAAATAGGATGTAATGGATAATTTACACAACAGGTCTAGGACACTTAAACATCTAGTATTTAGATAGATAGATTATTTATTTTCTGGAGCTTTCAAGCCAGCAAGAGTGTTATTGTCTCTTTAAGATGATCCGCTTTTGGGATCGTCCTCGCGATCATTATCTGAACAATCTGATTGTACAGAGAGGTGGCTGGATGGTTTAACGCCTTCGTTTTAGATTAGGAGGTCGGTAATTGAGCAGGGTCGCCTGCCCAACCACATTTCTCTTTCTGATTCAATGATTTTCCCTTCTACTCTTATCCCAAGTTTCATCTGACCTTGAAGTGATTTGACTCTATGGCGTCAGGCATTTAATTAACCAATCAGCGTTGGTGATTTTAGTGGGTTACCCACAGTTCCATGCACCTCACGCCAAAAAGTTGACGTAACACACCGTTTCATTGGCTAATGACTCACATCATCCAGAACGCGGTTATATAATAACTCTTTCTAATCGCAGAGTAGTAAAGACAAGCAAAACGAAAATTTAAACGATAAAAACGAAATCAAAAAAGATCTGTGTGTTTCAATCAGATTGTGATTACATGGATCTGTTTTACACCGAATAAAACTAAAGTAAAATAACACTTTATTACAAATACTCCAATCTTTACAAATATATAATAAAATATAAACATCCTAGCTTCAGTTCAATTCGGTACCTTATAGGATTCGCTTTAATTTGACTAGCCTATTTAATCTAAACTGGATTATATAAAAAAATTACTAAAAACAAAGATTATAATATAACAAAAGGAGAAGCGGTAGGCCAACATATACTGTCCAGAATATACGGGAATATGATCGTGATGGAACATTTTATATTCATGGCGTACATATCCATTTTGTTTGGTGTGGGGGTTAGGGAGGGGAGGGGTGGGGTGAGGGTAGCAACAATGAGACCGACTGATACACAGGCCCCTAATACCAGTGACACAGAATTTTTTGTATCTAGAGTCCGTGAATTGTCATTTCCTTGACTTTGGGAGAAGATTTTGAAGAATTCTGATTGAGTAAAATTGAGTACTACGCGTGGGAATTCGTGTTATTTGTTAAAAATTTTGCAAGAACGTACAATGTACTGTGAATCTGTGACAACTTCTGAAAGTGATAATAATTACATCGTTTACATGGATCTATATCTTCGATATATTGTTGTGGGGAATATACATAAATTAGCAGAGATGACTATGTCCCCATATTTTCATTAAAAGTCCACGTTTAGCCAAGTTTTGACACCGATTAGCGAATTTTTCACGAATGATCGTGTCCGCCATGTCACTCTCACACGCAAGAGTCAATAATTCATTGAGGCGTTCCTGTTTCATTAAACGCATAACAGTTTTTACTAATTTGTATTTTGAAAAACCGGCACGTATTGTGATATTCAATCAAAGCAATCAAACGTATACACAAATATATTCATACATATATTAAGTATTTGGGATTTTTCCCTTCTATTTTGGCATTGTTTGTTTACCTCATTAATTCATTTAGTCGTCGATGGAGAATTTTGAGATCATCTTACCCCCCCCCCCCTCCACACACACACACACACCAACCACCATCATGTACGCCCCTGAATACAATCAGTACAATACGTATTCTGGTAGGTTTAAGATGCACATAACCCATACAATATATCACTAAATTATGGTGAAATTCGTTATATTCTTACACACAATTTATCACTAAATTATGGTGAAATTCTTATACATAAAATATCACTATTTTATGGTGAAATTCTTATACATAAAATATCACTATTTTATGGTGAAATTCTTATACATAAAATATCACTATTTTATGGTGAAATTCTTATACATAAAATATCACTATTTTATGGTGAAATTCTTATACATAAAATATCACTATTTTATGGTGAAATTCTTATACATAAAATATCACTATATTATGGTGAAATTCTTATACACAAATTATCACTATTTTATGATACAATTCTTATCCATGAAATATCACTATTTTATGGTGAAATTCTTATACATAAAATATCACTATTTTATGGTGAAATTCTTATACATAAAATATAACTATTTTATGGTGAAATTCTTATACATAAAATATCACTATATTATGGTGAAATTCTTATACACAAATTATCACTATTTTATGATACAATTCTTATCCATGAAATATCACTATTTTATGGTGAAATTCTTATACATAAAATATCACTATTTTATGGTGAAATTCTTATACATAAAATATCACTATTTTATGGTGAAATTCTTATACATAAAATATCACTATTTTATGATACAATTCTTATACATAAAATATCACTATTTTATGGTGAAATTCTTATAAACAAATTATCACTATTTTATGATACAATTCTTATACATAAAATATCACTATTTTATGGTGAAATTCTTATACATAAAATATCACTATATTATGATACAATTCTTATCCATGAAATATATTTTATTTAATTTGTTTGAGTGCCACCCTGATTGTTGAGTAACATAATAAAAGACATGATTTTTATATGGATTACTCAACTTCTATATTCATACAATCTGATTATAACACAGATCTTATTTCGTGTCGTTTTTTATAGTTCAAAATTTCGTTTTACTTGCCTTTACTACACAAGGATCTGGATAAGTTGTTATATATCCCACGTTCTGGTTGATGTTAGGGATAAGCCAATGAAACGGTTTGTTGTAGCGAGTTCTTGGCATGCGATGCACGGAACTGTGGATATCCTACTAGAAACAATCAACGCTGATTGGTTAATCAAATGTCTGACGTCATAGGGTCAAAACTCGCTCGCGTGACTCCTGACGCGACCTCCCACCTCAGATCTTGATCTAGTGGAGGCCATTGGAAGTATAAAAAAACGAAACGAAATATAAATCTGTATTTTATCGGATTAATGTTTAATGTTTCACATCATCAGGAGGGGTTTAGGAATCCATATAAATCATGGTTTTTATATTTGATACAAGGAAACTATAACATCATAAAACAATATATACATACATATTAATATAGACATTCAAATCAATCTATAATAATAATAAATAAACAAAATATTTCATTTCAATTAAATTCAAGGTCCATACCCAAATCTATAATAATATAAAATACAAAATTCACACTCAAGGCAATATTCAAGATGCAGTCTCAGATTTCACCTGGCATCAACTCAACTTAACCAAGTGACTTACAGTAGAAAAATAAATATCTTGTTGACCATGTCTGAAAATTGCAGCACAAAAATGTTGAGCCCTTCAGAAACGGTCACCAACATTTTAAATTGCTTATTATGGTTTTGAGTGACCTGATACACCAGGCTATTATACTTTGAGAGAGCCGTAGACATGAATATCAAGACACTGCCAACCTTATCAGTTTTGAAGCTGAATAATAATATTTGTATTTCTTCCTTATCTGACTAGCTTGTTTTATTCACAGTTCCTTTCAATCAGGGCTAAATTTATCAAGTCGTTATTCTTAAAACTTATTCTTAAAACTTTCCCGTCACCTTATTATTGATTTTAAAACTTTTCAATAATTAACTTAGTGCGTCGCCATTCTTAAAACCTTCCCTTCATCTTATAAAAATTGATTTTAAAACTGTAGCACCTTTTTTTTTTCCAATTGCATAAAGTACTGAGTATTGCATCATGTTGATACAATGGACATGGACAGGAGTGTCGGAGCAGAATATTATACAGTACTTCCCTCATTACACAACATGGCCTTAAAATACTTTAAAAATAGATAATGAAAAATGAATATCTTGAAAATTTATTCAAATTAGATTATTCTTAGCAAAGTTATGAGTGAATTATTTTTTCACAATATAGTCCTGATTATTAAGTATCATTGATATGATAATAAACATAGTCTTGATTATCCATGTTTACATAAATTATCAAATGGCAATTGTTTTTTTTTTAATTCATTGAAAATCTCTGCCATCTGATGTTCTAAAGAGTTGATTATAGGCTTGTCATGTGAATAAATGTTTAAATAATAGTTTATATAATATTTGAATCCAGAATAAAGACCTGTAATAGGCAGATTTAGCTCTTATATAATTCACGTTTAAGTATACCATGTGAGGTAGGAGAAGAATAAAGGGTTTTTTTTATCGGCCTCGGCAAGAATTCGAATCTAGGATATTCTAGTTGAGGGTCCAATGTCCTGACAACCGCCACCATGTCGATAGAGGTATATTGTCTAATTGAGGGTCCAATGCTCTGACAAATGCCACTATGTCAATAGAAGTGTATTGTCTAGTTTGGGGTCCAATTCCCTGACAAATGCCACCATGTCAATAGAAGTGTATTGTCTAGTTGAGGGTCCAATGCCCTGACCACCGCCCCCATATTGATATAGGTGTAATATTTAATTTTAATGTTATTTAATACACAGTATAAACATTTCAAATATATTTTGTTCAAACTGTTTTACTAGAAACAACTGAACATTATTTATTATCGGTCAATGAGAAGCATTAGGATGTGACTTTAATGCTGTAGTGATAAAAGAAAAATTCCCAAATTATAAAATGAATTATTCTTTCTTGTTAAAAACTTGACATTTTATATAATCAAAATTTATGTATCATAATATGAAGTCTAATATAAAAACAAAAAAGATGAACGAAACTAGAAAATATTATCACTTACAAGGACTAATATACATAATTATTGTGTAGTTTGTTCATCTCTATCTTTGGTAAAATAAGTTGAGATTAAATAAGTACTTAAATAACAACACTGAGCAATAAGTCATACTCATAGAAGAAGGTGTAATAAAGGTGTTGATGCTGCTGGTGCCTAGAAAACAGGTATCTGATCTCTCCTCTTTAACATCAAATCATCATCTAGAGTTAATATAATCTGTAATATATTAAAACATCAACGGCTACTATCACAGTGGGGTGATAACATTTCATACAATCTTAGTCATTCTCTCACTGTAACCCAGGTATCATTTAATCTATTTCTTTTGTTTAATATCAAATCTTTGTTTAAAAATTCATAAAAATCATTTAAAATCAGTATCTGGAGTTGGAAATAATTAGGCCCGGATCACAGGTAATAATAAGGCCCTGATCACAGGTAATAATAAAATAAGGCCCTGATCACAGGAAATAATAAGGACCTGATAACAGGTAAAATTTAGAATTTTATTGCACTGGTTCAAGCTATCTGTTTGATAGAATCATGTATCCCTAACAAAAGCCATGTTTAACATAACTGATAGGGAAGCTGAAATCAGGGTTAATCGAAAGCAATACTGAATGTCTTCTGTAAGGTTCAAGATGGTTCTTCCATTTTTATCATTTCTACTGACAACTATATCATTATTATAATTTATAGGAAAGAAAACTTACGAGAAATCCAAAAAACATTCCAATAGCTGAGAGAAAATGCCAGATGTCATGAGCATCATAGAATTCTAGCAGCAAACATTGACGATTACCTTCTTTTGATGTAGCTGGTGTAACCTACAATTATAACACAACACATGTAACACAATTACAACACATGTAGCACAATTTCAACTCATGTAGCACAATTGCAACAAAATACATGTAACACAATTACAACACATGTAGCACAGTTACAACACATGTAGCACAATTACAACAAAATACATGTAACACAATTACAACACATGTAGCACAATTACGACAAAATACATGTAACACAATTACAACACATGTAGCACAATCACAACTCATGTAGCACAATTACAACAAAATGCATGTAGCACAATTACAATGACTGTAGCAAAATACATGTAAAACAATTACAACACATGTAGAGAAATTACAATACATGTCACACAATTACAACATGTGTAGCTAACTTTGTAGATCAACAAAGAATGATGTCCACCAAGTTTAAAAGAATATAATTTAGTTATTGGCAATAAGGTGGATTTAAAAGATGACCTAAATTCCCTCTGCCAAGCAACTAAGTGAGCAATAAACAATTCAATTGAAATGAAATGGTTTTACGGTCAAACTGCTCCGACTGAGATAGTGAAATAAAATGGGATTTCGTGTTCACTGTTCTGCTCTGACTGGGCTAATGAGAATAGGAATACACCATGCAGTGTGCTATGAGAGAAATTTTGCTTGGTAATATATCGAATTCCAACTGCTAAGGGTTCTTTTAAGTGCATGCCAATGTTTACACTGGACCTTGGTGTATCATCCTATCCAGATGACTATACATTGTTCCTTGCCAGACCCTTTGTCCTGCGCCACTGACAAGGAGGAACCACGTCGGATAATCCAAATCAACTTTCTCAGCCAACACCGGGAGCGAAAATGGGACCGCCAGGTTAGCGAGTCAACATCTTACTCACTGAGTCACAGCGACTCCTATTTCAATAGAACCAACCGAGATAAACATCACCCTGGCAACATACCTATTAAACCTAAATAAACATCCCCCTGGCAACATGCCTATTAAACCTAAATAAACATCACCCTGGCAACATGCCTGTTAAACCTAAATATACATCACCCTGGCAACACTCCTATTAAACCTAAATAAAAATCATGATTGCAACATATCTATTAAATCTCCATGAAATTGTTTAGGAAAAATTGTTTACACTGAATGGCTGACAGAAATGACGACCTAAGAACATTAGCGTTTGTAAAACCCTTTGGCATCCCATGGCCTGATGTGTTTAAAAAATTCTACTTACCGACCATGATGTAAGATGTGCGAAGAAGAAATAAAGAGCACCTGCCCATGTTAAGGTAGCAGTTATAATACAAGCTGTAGCTAATAAATGTATCTTTTCTCCACTTAATAACTGTAAAATACATCAAAACATCCAGTAACAGCCCCAATAGACAGTATTGGGGTGGTATTGGGTAGTATGGATGGATAGTATTGGGTAAATCGTCCCACATTTTCACAAGGATGATAATTTATAAGAAAGGACTAGTCTGGACTAGTCAGTACCAACTAGTCTATGAGGGTTATTTTGTCCAGGATTCTATTATATGCATGGTTGGGTCCAAGTTTTTTTTTCGTCCCATCCGACTAAGCAGTACATTTCTAGTTAGAAAGACAGTGTTTAATATCTACTCGGCACAGTCAAGGTTGTTTGAAGACAAACATATATGGTATATGTTGTTTTTTGGACCAGGAACTGGTCGCTAACCCCTACTCATCTTCTTGTTCTTGGGGTGACGCTTTTCGAAAAAGCCTAAGGCTCCATCAATTCAAGTCATATCCACATGAAAATTGTCATGCTTGTTCTTTGAACAATTCTGGATCGATTTAGCGTATTAGATGTTTGAATTTCATCCAACAACATGGTCAGTTCCTGGTCTATAATGTGATCGTATTTGTTTAATAATTTTATTGAGTGTAGCGAAATTATCTACAAGCTTGGATCAAAACCACATTACTCGACTTGACGCCAGATCCTTTAGATTTAACATACATGCATTCGACCACTCGGCCGATTCCCTCCCCTTCTTCCATTATAAGTATATAACTCCCCTTATTCCATTATAAGTATAAAACATATAACATGAGATTTCCTATAAATATGGTTATATTGTCTTACCTTCATTATGATATAAAATAAAACATATAACATCAGATTTCCTATAAATATAGCCAGTAAATACGTAGCAAAATCGGTTGGTGGGTTTACAAAACCATAAATAGCACTGAAAAAATAAAAAACCACCATAAATAACATGGAAAACAATGTTGATAAAAGGAATACAATCATTAGTTTTAATCATTATTTAAAAAAACATCTTTTTCCAAATAAATTGATGACAGTTTTTGATTACTCACACATTTTTCTTTTTATAAAGCAATCTAACTGTTTATCAGGAGAAAATGTTTATTATCGAACTTAATCAAAGTATGGATGTAATGAAACTATACACAGAGTCTAATCACTTCAACACAATTGGAAATTGGAAGCAGGGTTTTTGTGTTCTAAAGTCTCGGTCAATCATAATAAACAAAATAAAAATAAACAACTAAAGATGTACGTAACAAAATAAACAACTAAAGATAAACAAAATAAAAATAAACAACTAAAGATGGACGTAACAAAATAAACAACTAAAGATAAACAAAATAAAAATAAACAACTAAAGATGGACGTAACAAAATAAACAACTAAAGATAAACAAAATAAAAATAAACAACTAAAGATAGAGAAAATAAAATAAACAACTAAAGATAGAAAAGATAAAATAAACAACTAAAGATAGAAAAGATAAAATAAACAACTACAGATAGAAAAGATAAAATAAACAACTACAGATAGAAAAGATAAAATAAACAACTAAAGATAGAAAAGATAAAATAAACAACTAAAGATAAACAAAATAAAAATAAACAACTAAAGATAGAGACGATAAAATAAACAACTAAAGATAGAAAAGATAAAATAAAAATAAACAACTTACAAAGACCAATTGATGATATTACCAATTAACAATAAAACAAAACGATTCTGAAAAATATAAAATATCAAAATTATTCTACAATATATTGTCTCTGTCTCAAGCAACCCTAACCCTGTTGCTTGCTACTATCAGGAGTGAACCTGCCCAGGGCCCTATCCACCCTGATTGGAAATGTTGGGTTTTTTTTTAAATAAACCAGCGGCTGCCAGGCAGGATACGCCCACATTTTCGAGAGATGGATAGAGAACAAGCTAACAAGAAAGTGATTTTTCCTACAATCAAGGGCCATAATTCAGGAAATTACAATTCGATATGCGTGAATATGGAAAGGAACCGAGATCTTTGGGTTATAAACTTACATTTCAAGGTTCAACAAAATCGGATAAAAATTGTGACCTCTATAGGGTCCACAACCTTGATATACTATATTTTTACGCTATTTGAGAAAGAACGGCAGCCATTTTGTCTGTCATTTTTGGGCCGATTTTCACGAAATTCGAACTCAGTCATCCTTAGGGTGTAACGGTGATATAATAAAACGTTTTTTTAAATCTGATAAAAATTATAACCTCTATAGGGTCCACAAGCTAAAAACGCGATTTTTGGTAGAATCAGGGGCCATAATTCAGGAAGTTACGGTCCGATATGCCCGAATATCGAAAGGAACCAAGATCTTTGGGTTATAAACTTACATTTCAAGTTTCAACAAAATCGGATAAAAATTGTGACCTCTATAGTGTCCACAACCTTGATATACCATACTTTTACGCTATTTGAGAACGAACGGCGGCCATTTTGTCTGTCAATTTTGGGCCGATTTTCACGAAATTCAAAGTCAGCCATCCTTAGGGTGCAACGGTGATATAATAATACGTTTTTTTTAAATCGGATAAAAATTATGACCTATATAGGGTCCACAAGCTAAAAGCGCGATTTTTGGTACAATCAGGGGCCATAATTCAGGAAGTTAATGTCCGATATGCGCGAATACCGAAAGGAACCGAGATCTTTGGATTATCAACTTAGATTTCAAGTTTCAACAAAATCGAATAAAAATTGTGACCTCTATAGTGTCCACAACATTGATATACCATATTTTTACGCTATTTGAGAACGAACGGCGGCCATTTTGTCTGTCAATTTCGAGCCGATTTTCATGAAATTTGAACTCAGCCAACCTTTGGGTGTAACGGTGATATAATTGAACGGTTTTTTAAATCGGATAAAAATTATGACCTCTATAGGGTCCACAAGCTAAAAACACGATTTTTGGTACAATCATGGGCCATAATTCATGAAAGTTACGGTCCGATATGCGCGAATATCAAAAGGAACCGAGATCTTTGGATTATCAACTTAGATTTCAAGTTTCAACAAAATCGGATAAAAATTGTGACCTCTATGGTGTCCACAAGCTAAAAACGTGATTTTTCGTACAAACAGGGGCCATAATCCATGAAGTTTCGATCCGATACATGCCAATATCGAAAGGAACCAAGATCTTATGGAGATAAACCTATATTTCAAGTTTCGTCAAAATCGGATAAGAATTGTGACCTGTAGAGTGTCCACAAACAAATTGTGGACGGACGGACAGGGGCGACGGCATAATACGTCCACATGAAAATGTGGGCGTATAATAAAAATCATCTTCGTATCCACTGAGAAATATAATGACATTAATCCGAAGAATAAAATGTTCTGTGAGTGAGGTACAGGAAAAGGTAAATCAAGCTAGTTTTATTTTCTCATGACACGTATTCTCCATTGCCATGTAGACTCAAGGAAGCCAGTTAGTCCTAGAGCTCAGAATTACCACTCAGTCCACTGCTAGCTTCAATTCTGTTTGCTTACACAACATGAAGATCTACTGTTAAATGCCTGTTTAGAACTTCTCTTGGTTTTTATCACTGTACCCACTGCGAACAAACCAAAGCACCTGTTCACACAACACAACATGAAGACCTACTGTTAACTGCCTGTTTATAACTGTAGCCACTGAGACCAAAGCACCTGTTCATTGGAATGACTCGGTGAGGTAAAACATTAATTAAATAAATAAATGAATGAATAAAATAGTGTTTAACACCCTAGTTTTCTGCACCAACTGGTCTAATGAAAATGGCAATATAGCTTACAGTATGATATGAGACAAATGTTGACCAGACAGCAATTATTCCTATTTTCAAGGGTCCTTTTACATGCATGTCACCGTGTACATTGGAGCTATAATTATATGCCATATCAGCGTGTACATTGCACTTTGGTATTTGGTTCCATCCAACTGGAGCTATCACTGGTAAACAGATACCATTGACTAATCAAGCTAGGCCTTTTAGGAATGACAATTTTCGTCAATAAATCATATACCAGAAACAGAAACACAGTGAATAACATTATGTTTTACTTACAGGGTAAATAGGTCTCCCACATTTTAAACAATCATTTCTAAATAACCACCATAATCTTTTAAATACACCACAATCTGAAATATCATACACGACATACTGATTACATAAATATCATACACATCGTACTGATTACATAAATATCATACACAATGTACTGATTACATAAATATCATGACTATAAACTACACCTGTAATTACTGATTCGAACTCGTGCTTCAGACCACAAGAATCATTTGAATAGCTGTGACTGTAACCAAGGAATGGTAGAAGTGGTCTAGCCAGCAGTAGTTTTAGACATTTTCAAAAATGAGCTACAATACTCAATGTAGGGTCTCAAAATGATCTAAAAAAATTTATAAAAAAAAGATAAAAAGAAAAGAATCCTTACCAACTTTCCACATGCCCATAAAATAAATCTGTGCTGATAAAATTAACGAAACCAACATATGAACTAATGCATATAATATCCAGAAAATACTGTTAGCATAAGCCTGAAGGAAAAAAAAACATTTTTAAAAGTAAAAGATGATATAAAAATACATTTGTATTACAGGGGCATTATGGGAGATTAGATGAAGAGTTGCCAGTTCTCGCTAACATAAATATGCTGAAAATTTCAATTAAATTTCTCCGACTTGAGGCAAAATATTAGCTTTTGAATTTTAGGCTAGACTCAATTATCATTACTAAAGTCGGTACGATAAAATACAAGGTCTCGATTATACATGTTTACGTTTAATCATCCCTCACAAAATGTATTCTAAATCCAGTAAATATCGCAGGCTAGCGATGGAATCGAGAGTTGATTGTCTGGATAAATTAATTAATATTTAATTAATAATTTAGATAACATTAAATGTCTAATTAATAATTTAGATAACATTTCAGTCAGACCTAAAGAAAGACCCTCAATTGGTAGATTTAACTCTTGCATAATGTATGTTTAATATGTGAAATATCATGTTCAGTGAATAAATTAGAAACAGGTATTGATGATACCTGGATGAGCGACTATGATACCTTGATGATCGACCATGATACCTGGATGACCATGATAAATCCTGCCATGTTGAGGATCAATCATGATGCGATGAAAACCTCAACGTCACTACAACAATGTTGTACTTACCACTCCTATAACAGCTATAAATATAACAAAGGCCATTGATAAATAGGTTGTATGAGCCTTGGCATTGATATCAGGATGCCGGGTCTGATAAATCTTCAACATATTTAAACATGCTATTATATACATAAACGATGTATCTGAAATATACAAAAACATAAAATATATTAAATCAATATTGTGGTGCAAAATAACATTTGTGGTTAATTAGATGTCATGGAAATAAATTTTAAAGTAACAAATGATGACTTGTTCATAACGTCAATGAGAATTTTTTAAAACCTGGTGACTATTTATATGTCATTTCACTGAAGAGTTGGCAAATGTTTAAAGCGACTATCCCGATTTGAACAGAGTCTCAAAAATAAAAGTCTGAGTATGTATGAAATTTTAATGCCAAAATATAGAGGAATGGTATATGTACCTTGTCTCAAAGTTTCAGTTCAAAATATTGAGTCATTTGGACGTGAACGTCAAAAATGGTTATCCGGACACGTAACCCTTTTAAGATTTTGGGTCAAATTTTTCGTTGAATGACCTGATAATCGATTCCCGTTCTTTTAGAGGTCTATACAGTGAATAACTCATGTGCTGTACTTGATAACAAAAGGTAAATTTCACCTCACATTACTTTTATAAAATAAAAGTCTGGTTTTATCCAGACACTGCATAATACAGCTTGGGACACAGGTCTACATTTCCAGATGAAGACTGACGGGTTTAAGTTGTTTGCAAACATATCACAAATATTGAGTTAGTTGCACGGCCATTAGGTAGAGCATTTTAAGGGATTATAACACAAAATTAAGCAGTTTTATTCTCCAACATATTATTGGGATTGGCCCTTTAATGAACAATTAACGAAAAAATACATTCATTATGATTACAACTTACCAAACTGAAAGTTTGAATTATTTGGACAGACATGATAACAGGCACTCATCAATCCTTCCATCATTAACGCTAGACCCATCGCATAATATAATCCATAATGTTGAGGAATACCATATCGCTAACAAATAATAACATAATGATGAGGAATACAGATCTATATTTCGTTTCGTTTTTTAATACTTTCGATGGCCTACACTACATGAAGATCTGAAAAGTTATAGCGATAGGTCACGTCAGGGGTCAAAAGACCGACTTATGACCCAATGACGTCAGACATTTGATCAACCAATCAGCATTGATGTTTTTAGATGATTACCCACATTTCCGTGCAAAACACGCCTAAAGCTTGCTGTAACAGACCGTTTCGTTGGCTAATCCCTCACACCATCCAGAACACGTCAATGATAACATCTCTTCCAGATTCTAGTGTAGTAAAGACAAGTAAAACGAAATTTTGAACTATAAAAAACGAAACGAAATAGGATCTGTTTTTTAACCAGATTGAAATAATAACATACAATATTTTGAGAAGGAGTTGAAGCAAAATTGTGATAGATTAATTAGTTTGAATATGTTTATGAGATTAAGTAAAATCTATGATGCATGCTACACAAGCAACAATTATCCATGTCACATAATATAATCATTACATGATCCCAAGCTCACACACAGCTTGCATAGATGACAGACATGGTGAGAATTTGGGTGTGGCACAACGAGAACAATACAACTAAACTCAGTGATTATATAAATATTAAAAAAATCTGTTGGATGAATGTATACATCAATCAAGACGATTACCTGCGATATTTCTTTATTCTTGGCAGCAAATGCTCGGTGTACACTTGCTCTAAAATAAAACAACACATGTATGATAAACAATACCTGGATACATTATCACAGGTTGCCAGGCAACAAAACATATGTTCACAGTAACTGAACTGTCTAAGCCTTCCATAAAGGATGATAATATTATATGATATAATCATGATAAATAGCTAATTATCAAATATTATTCTATTTTCATGGAGTTTTTTTAAAACAAAGAATATAATTTAATGTATATATAGACTTATTTTGTAAGATTCTATGGTGAAGCTTGATTATAAGTCTAGAATGTTCTGAATTGTCAGACTATAATACAAGCGTTTATAATAAATAATTCTACAGTAAACTTACCATTTTCTGACTATAATATATAATAAATAATTTTATTGTAAACTTACCGTTTTTTGACTATTATAATAAATAAGGCCCCGAGTAGAACGTATCCAATGTTACTGAAGACATTATTAAAGGAACTGAGAACACCAAGAGGATGAGCACAATAAAAATTATAATAACAAATATCTTGATCCCCAGTTCGATGTAACACCTGAAAAATACAAAACACAAAACACATACCAATATCTATAAATCAACAAGAGAAAATCATCAACCAATAACAACTAGTAGACTATTGTCAACCAATAATAACCATGAGACTTGTTAATCAATATGATTTATGTCTTGTCAACAGTATATTTCAGGCAATTGCATACAAACATAATATTGTCATTTTATTTCTCCAGCTGTGTGTGTTTTTGTGTGTGCAATGCAAAGTAGGGTTTTGTACAGATAGCGTGGGCCCACCTACACTTAATTTGATGTCCAACAGTCAATGTATCTTGAATTTGTACAGGTGGGAATCTTAATCGACTAGACACACATGCCTCTCAGCCGAGAAGGTACCACCCCTGACAAGAGACATCCAGGTTTGACAAACCCCTTATCTATCTAAAATATTCTGAAACTTATTAGAAGAGTGTCTAGTTTGTTTTATAGAATTTAAAAACAAATTTCACTCATTGAACCGAAGAACCAACAGGATAATTGTTGATTTATGTCACTTCTGGACATTTAAACCCTTTCCTCTCTTTTCTAACAGTGTTAGAAGAAAGCTGTGTGGTGAGACGGGCTATACGCAGATATAATGTGTGATGAGAAAATAACGTCATTCTGGGACTGGCATGGGGTAAATCTGTATTATAATGAAGGTGTAATCGTGTAAATCTGTATTATAATGAAGGTGTAATCGTGTAAAAATGACTAACTTTTACTTACTTTTTGGTAAGAAACTACAAGTTGTATAACAGGTAAACCATAAAATATACCAATAGTTAATAAATTCCTACAATAAAAATATATTACAATAGTTAGTAAATTCCTGCATTACAAATAAATATATTACAATATTAAAGGCTTTGTATCACTTTTAAATGTTTAATTATGATTTGAAAATGTTTTGAAACTTAAAAAAGAGTACACTGAAATGGATACAGGGGATTAGAATATTACGAACAATCTAAATCTTATGTTGATTAGAATATTACAATCTATAATATAAATTTAAAGGGTTGGAATGTTACAGAAAATAAATTTTAAGGGGTTAGAAAGCGATAAAATATACTGTTACCAGTGATATATTTTGTATGTCTTTGATAATTTTTTCGGACTTTTCCTGGATAAATCTGTCACGAACAACGCAGTCTATAAAATAGTATAATAAATACCATATAAATAATATAATAAATACCATATAAACAGTGTTAAGTTTAACATTCTTTCTACATTTTTGCACCAACTGGGGCCTATACCATGTATATCTGCTATGCAGGGAAATTTTGGCTGATCGAACAGCAGCTTTTCTTCCTCTCTACTTTTAATTCCAAATTTCAAGGGTTCAACCTGTAGGGGCTACACTGGGCCTCAGTTTTGTGTTCCCTCCAAACAACTAGATCAGATATTTGAATCTAGGAATTTATTTTTAAGATTTGGTGGTTTTCTTTTGACATGCCATTTTAAGGTTTATTAATACCACATTTACCTTTATTAATATTATATTTACCTTTATTAATACTATATTTACCTTTATCAATACCATATATACCTTTATTAATACCATATTTACCTTTATTAATACCATATTTACCTTTATAAATACCATATATACCTTTATTCATACTATATTTACCTTTATCAATACCATATTTACCTTTATTAATACCATATTTACCTTTATCAATACCATATTTAACGTTATATTTACCTTGGTTCTTACGATACGTTTATCTTCATATGCATCACTTAACATATCTATCTCACTTGTATCAACCTCTGATTGATCAGAGTTGTCTTCCCTTTCATTACCGATACTCGCAGATTCTTCCTCGGATATCTCTACATTGTACAACAAATTTTATGTCACAAATGTTGACATGAATCATTTTATTGTTGGTCTTATGGTATACACATGGATTTAATACATCAATAGATTTCTCTATTTCTTGTATTATTTTCCTTGAGTAAACTGTATTACAATCACTAGTAAGTGCAGGGGGACTGCACCACACATAATTTACACAAAAAAACAAATATATGGACAAGACACAATATGTAGAAATCGCAAACAAACGAACAATTCAAATTAAGTGAATGGATCCAGGGGGCTAGCCGTAAGCATCCACTGCCCTGTACAGTCCCGGGCCTGTAGTGATACAGACTTCACTCAAATTTGAAAACAATCAGGAATATAGAGAGAGGGATTTCATCAGGTCATTGCTTCAGGGGTATTTCACTCGACCGTTACATGATCATTGAGTCAAATGGCTTGGTTTACATCATATGGTCAGTTATTGAGTCAAATGGCTTGGTTTTAATTTGAGTTGGTTCGCCTTTCTGACCTCATGGGTTTTCTATCAGTACTGTAAACTGGTTGCAGATTGAATTTAGTAGTCTGTGGTTTAGTCAAGAGTTAACGATCTCGATAATGAACAAACTACTTAATTATGGTGTTTAAAAACGTACCCATGTGTTTGTAATCACCACCAGGAAAATAAAAAATTTAAAAAGCCATAATTAAGTAGTAAGTTCATACAGGGCAAAATTAGTTTATTTTATATAGAGAGAGAGAGAGATGGGGTTTAACGTCCACTCGACATAAAATAGGTAATTTCGGTACTAACACATAGTTCAACTTTACTTCAATAATTCGCTTGCATGTAGAGGTGTTTAGCAGTGGGAGGAAACTAGAGGATCACGAAGTTGGAGTTTATTTGATATGATGGCTCACACAATATTAGACATTATAATAAAAGCGTACCAGATTGATTGGCAATACTTCCATAACTTGCATCTCTTGTAGAACTGGTCATTGGTCTCGATAATAACCTGTCTGTCAATATATAATAAAGAAATTAATGTCCTATTCAATAAAAAAAAACATTAACTTTTTTAATTTGTTAAAAATTAAATCTGTACTTTTTAGATTACAGCCATATTTAAAATAATGATATTATACGTAACAATAGATTTTAAAAGATTTAAATTTTTGACAAAAATTGGATCCCTGACTTTTTTTATTTTAATTTTAGGCTGTTTTATCCCCATTTTAGAGGTCTTCAAATAGTATATATCTAAATCTAATTGAGTATTATGAGAAGATAATTGAACATTGAATGACAATCTATTCAGATTTTGAATGTCAACGACAATATTTATATATTATTTTAACAGTAAAGTACAAATTCTATAACGGTGATAAAATATATAGATTATGTAGTATTTAGCTACATGGACCAATTAAGTTAGAAAATTAATAATTTATGATGAATTTAGTATAAAAAAAAAACAATAGTTGATCATACTAAAAAACATCTATGTATTAAGAATTGACGTCTAAATGATATCTTTTTATAAAGCAACTCTGGTAAATGGACATCTTGTCTCCTTCAGCTTTAAAATAGTTGGTTTAAATTCTAAACTGCAAACAACGTCAAAACCATATTGTCTCTTTAAAAGTAATTGCGACACTATTGTTACAAATCTAGATTTACTAGAGATTGAAAGAAAGAAATCTGAGAGTATTCTCTTAGTTTTTTCAAGTCTGTATTAAACTTTTCGAGGAGTGATATGGAGTGAAACACCACACACATTCAGTTTCAAATTTAGCACCAAGGACATTCAAAAAGACTCAAAAGTTTTGTTGATATTCAAACATGGATAGGCCACAGTGAATCGCACAAAATATATTTGGCTTTACAGGAGACATAGCAACTATGTGTAACTAGAATCCAGAATTTCCATTTTGAACTACAATAAACATATATACACAGTTGAGCCAAAGCGTTCTTCTTTTGTTTTGAGTAAGGTATATACACATCTAATTATAACATATACACATCTAATACTACTATAACATATACACAGTACCATAAAATATACACATCTAATACTATTATAACATGCAAGTTTTAGAACATCTAATACCACATCACAGATTTCATTATAATTTATCATCAAGCTAAATAGATTTAAAACCCATATTCTTTTATTTTGATAACAAAAAAGGCTACTAGTTACAACCAAGAGGGTAATACCAATTTGAACTTTTGCTGTTGGATGACAATTGTTAAAATCTGGCATCCAAATAGTTTGCTTTTCACAAAGTTTTTAGATCCACATTTATACAATTTGTAATTCTAAATGAAAAAAGTTGATAAGGAAGAAAATGAAATGAACTGAAATTGGGTTTAACGTCCTACTGTTCTGCTCCGACTGGGCAAATGAAGACGGGCATATGCCATAAATTGTGCTATGAGGGAAATTTTGCCCAAGAAGCGGCACTATCGCCTACACTAATATCGAATTCCAACTGCCAAGGGATCTCTTGCGTGCATGCCAAAGTATACACAGGACCTCGGTTTTTCGTCTGATCACAACGAGTAGACAGCTGTCCATGTCAGGCCCTCCATCCTGCATCACTGACAAGGGGAAACTGCATTGGAAAATCGGGATGAACTTTCTCGGCCAAAGCAGGGATCGAACAATCGACCTCCAGACTTGTGAGCCAGCGTCTGACCCACTTAGTCACCATGGCTCCACAAAACCATGAAGAACTAAAGTTTAATTTGGTTTAACCTAATATATTGTGTTAATAAAATAAACAAGCAAATATATAGATGTCAGCTAGAAAAAAAACATAAGCATAAAATAAAATATAAAAAAAGGCAGAATTTAGACACAGGTTATTAAAAATAACATCATGATAAGGTTATATACCAATAAATGGGATTGAATCACTTATAAATAAACATGTTCTACTCATATTTAAAGATATATTATATAAGATTTAGATAAAGAGTAGACAGTTCTCGCTATAATAATTCAAAAATAGATAATGAAAAAGGAATATCTTGAAAAAACATGCAAGTTTTTATAAATAAAAAGAAAGATGAAACAATGACGTGCAAGTTTTGTTAGAGAGAGATGAAATATAACCATGTAGACTTGTATTACCAGTAGAAGATGATGATGGCTGCCGTGATCGATGACATTCTCTCGGCCCATTGTAAAATCCTAATAACTTATCTAAATAAATAAATGTTGAATAAAACACAAGAACATTATTGGACCGAGAACAGGACATCATCATCACCCTAAGCAAAGTATGTCAACAGTTTTACAATTGTCCATTTGTTAACAATGTCAAGTTTTATATTGTTCGTACTTGAATTGGGAGTGTCGCCCTCCAGAAGAAGTAGAACTTAATGAACAGAGTATCAGTTCCTGGTCCAGATGTATATAATAAATAAATATGACTACATCTACATTAAAACATAGAATATATTGAGAAACTGTATGGTCCGGATATTTATAATAAATAAATATTACTGCATCTACATGAATAAAACTATTCACCTTCTCTGATAGTTTCTCTTACGGTGATAAACAAATTGGGTTTTTGTTTGTATGGCCTTTATGAAGTGCACCATACAATTTCTCAATATATTCAATGTTTTAATGAATTCTTCAATCAGATAGATAAGCTTATATTATCAGGAACCAGTTTGTGTTAGAAAAGCAAATGTAGACTTTATTTGTATTGATGGCAGCAAGATATATATATACATGCTTTGGTTTCATGCATGAATGCGAGCGAGAGAGATAGAGCGAAATGGGGTTTAACCTACAATTGACAGCAACAAGGTCATTTCGGGACTAACATATGGTTCAATTTTAGTTCAATAATTTGCTTGTGCATAGGTTTTTTTTAGCAGTGGGAGGAAGGTTGGACTGGCGACCCTAATGTATGTAGAGACTTTGTCTTTGTAATATTTTAATTTGTATCTTTGACCCAAGAAATATCATCAAGGGATTACGTTCAATTTACAATTGCATTTTGGGATTAACAAACGTTTCTGTTTTTTAAAAACATTTATAGAAATGTTAACTCACCTTTCATATCTTCTGACATATTCAAGTATTCACTGTTATAACCACTAAAATATACAATTATTCTATTTGTTATGAAAAGTATTATGTGAGTAAATTTAGAAATCATATCTTGTTGTAAAAGGCTGTAAACCTTTCTGAAATGTAGAAGAGTACCCATCCACTTGTCTTGGACAATGACAAATCAGTAGAGTATAATAAACTGTACATACACATGTAATAAACAGCATGGTAACTTACCAACAATATTGTAATAAACAGCATGGTACCTTACCAACACTATTTAATAAACAGCATGGTAACTTAGTAACATGGTAACTTACCAACACTATGGTAAAAAGCAGCATGGTAACTTACCAACACTATTGTAATAAATAGCATGGTACCTTACCAACAATATGGCAATAAATAGCATGGTAACTTACCAACAATATTGTATTAAATAGCATGGTAACTTACCAACAATATTGTAATAAATAGCATGGTAGCTTACCAACAATATTGTAATAAATAGCATGGTAGCTTACCAACAATATGGTAATAAATAGCATGGTAACTTACCAACAATGTTATAATAAATAGCATGGTACCTGACCAACAATGTTGTAATAAATAGCATGGTAACTTACTAACAATGATAGAAGATACAGATGAAGAATGCAACAAGATAACATGGTAACTAACCAACAATGATAGAAGATATGTTAACTTACCAACAATGAAAGATAATATGGTAACTTACCAACAATGAAAGATAATATGGTAACTTACCAACAATGATAGAAGATACAGATGAAGAATGCAATGAGGTAAAAACTGAGGAAGACGGCAACAGCCACAAATATTCCTTTATAATATGATGCCTCTGTTAAAATAAAATATATACATGAAAAAATAAACACATTTCTAGGGATTCAGGTCAAGTGGCTCAAATATTTTGGATTTCAGTGTTTCAAGGGCGAGGAAATATTTTGGTGGGGCATAGGACTTCAGAATGGGGAATATGGATTTTTCATAGAAACTATTTAAAAGCTGGATTGAAAACCTAAAACAGACAAAAAATAGTGATTCTCAAGGGGCGTATGAATACTTTGTTAGGGACTAGGACTTCAGAGTGGAGTGTAGGGATTTCTCATAGAAATAAGTTAAAAGCTGGCGCCAGCCAAGAAGTTCCAAGTGGAGTGTAGGGATTTTTCATAGAAATCAATTAAAAGCTGATGTGGGCGGAGAAGTTCAAAAGGTTTGCCCATGACAGTTGGAATTTAAAATAAGAGTAGGTCATAGTGCTGCTGCCTGGGCAAAATATCTCATATAACACACTGTATGACTTGTGACAGTCTTCATTAGCCCAGTCAGTGGAGAAAAGTAGGAAATTCAATCCCATTTAACTTCATTTAAAAAAATTAGACTATTTATCTTTTTGAGCAGCATTTAGCAATTGACACACGTAATGAACACAAAAACATTATCAAACAAATGATAACTTTGAAAAAACTCTCAACAAAATATTATTAAGCAAATGATGATTTTGAAAGAACTCTCAACATAACATAGCTTTGATTAGAACAGTATTTGTATTATATAATGTTTTTGTGTTTATTAGACTATTTAAGATACCTACTTGATAATGTTCCTTTAACTAGAATGTTGACATTTTTATTACGATGTATGGGAGTCACTGGTTGGATATTTTGTATTTGATTACAATCTAAATCATTTGATTTAACCACCATGACTACATAAAACGCGTCTTCATCATAATCTTCTTTCTACACAAGATAAACAAATACTAGTTTATACATTTTTATGGCAAATTAGTTACAGGAATAAACCATTATTTTTATGGCAAATAAATTTGAAGAGTTGAATTTGTTACAGGAATAAAGTCATTAGAGATTATTCTGAACATGGTCAAATACCATCAGAAATTTAAGCACCAAAATATAGAGTTGTTTGAACGTGAATGTCAAAACCGTTATCCGGACATGTAATCCTTTTAAGATTTCAAGTCAATTTCAAATCAAGTCCCAAGTCAATGAGACCAAAAACTGAGGTCCTGTGTATACATTAGCGTACATGTAAAAGATCCCTTGGCAGTTGGAATTCGATATAAAAGTAGGCCAATAAAGGCCATAGTGCTGCTGCCCGGGCAGAATTTCCCTCATAGCACAACACTGTATGGCGTATGACTGTCTTCATTAGCCCAGTAGGAGCAGAACAGTAGGACATTAAACCCCATTTCATTTCATTTTCATTTCATTTCTCAACAATTCCCTCGTCATTTTTATACATATTGCTATTTGTTCATTTTTTGCTAAAACTTTGGATTTGCTGCAAACATCCAATTAATCACTATTTCTTAAGCTTTCTAAATAAGATTTCTTTCTAAAATTATAAAAAACTTACATTTAAAATAAGAGCTGCCTGTTTTGTCATTGTTTGATATTTTCCTTGAAAAACTATATTATTATCTAGATCAAATACCGGACACTGGAAAATAAATATAACAGCATTCTTATTACATTTACATATCGTTGATAGGGAGTAAAAACCTTGTGGCTATTCTCCAACATCCTGGTTTCTTCCCACTACTAAAGACCCTAGTGAATTATTGAAATAAAATTTGACCATGTGTTAGTCCCTAAATGACCTATTTTTTTGTTGACTAGACATTAAACCCCATTTTCTCTGTGTTTTCACTAAAAGAGAGAGAGAAATAGTGTTTAATGTCCACTTGACACAAATTAGGTCATTTAGGGACTAACACATGGTTCAATTTTATTTCAATAATTCGCTTGCACGTAGGTGTCTAAAGCAGTGGGAGAAAATCAGAGAATCCCTACTCATTGCGACATACAACCGGGGAATCAAAACCACCCCAGTTGACTCAATGGCAGACCTTATGATACAGTGCACACTGGCTAACCATTCGGCCATCCAACCCCCTTTCACTAAAAGATCATGTCAACTATATTGTGATGCTTACTTTAATATCTTGTATAGAGACGACCATACATTGTTTATCTTCAGATTCTACCGTTAATAAAACAGATGCCACATTATCAGGAAATGTAAACATATAATATTCTGGGGCTGCCGGCGACACGCTTGTATTCTTTACTGTATCTAAGCTGAAAAACATAAAAATATCATTTTTTTTAAACTGATCGACGAGCATCTTCTTGATTCAAAGAGTTTTTAATTTAACCTTAATCTGCTTTACACCCTTTTCGCAGGATGAAATTACCACATTTTCAAAAGTGTGGGAGTTTTGCCTGATAAAGTCAAAATACAATAAATTATACAAAACGGGCATGGGAGTATCAATTTTCAATATAACCAGACTCTTACTAATGTCAAGGGGTTCTTTTGCTTGCATACACATGTGCATACAGGTGGTACTCGATTTTTTATCCCATCCAAATAACTATGCCCACTGTCCTTGACAGTCCCTCAGACATCACCCCTGCCAAGTGAGATTTTCAGGTCACATAAATGTTATGACACATTACAATCTAGTCTTGTATTGCAACTACTGACTGGGTCTTGTATTGTATTGCAACTACTGACTTAGTCTTGTATTGCAACTATCGATTGAGTCTTGTCTTCAACCTACCTGAGTCCTGAGTCTTGTATTCAACTTACCTGAGTCGAAAGTCATCTAATAATGAAACTGATAGTGTAAAGTTGGAAGGTTCAATAGACATGGTAGAAACATCAATATATATCAACTGATCTTGGGTCAATGAACGTCGACTGTCTTTATCCATCGGACACAAAGTTCGATTGACAGACTTATAGCGATAACTGTATGAAACAAAAATAATCAAATAAATAAACTATAAATTATTGAATATTCAAATACCTCTATAAATATTATTCATATCAAAATATCATTATCAAAGTTTGGGGGTGAAATTATCAAACTGAAGTTTTAAAAGCTGGGTTGCCAGGCAACGAAACATACGCCTACAGCAGATAAATTGTCAACAAGAGTTGTCGCATATTTTTACTTTTTTCAGTAATGAAACATTTATAATCCACTAAAATCTAATTAAGAGTAACAACTCATTAAGTAATTATCAGAAAACCATTAGAATTTGTTTGGTTTTTATAAAGTTCTGCCCCATGTTAACGTTTAGCATATGAAACATTTAATATCATGGATTAAACTGTTCAAGTCATAAAGATTCATTAAAAATCAATATACTTGTTTGTCTCAAGACCTTAAACTCTGTGTATCAGTCTGAAGTCAAGCGGATGATAACATAAGTCTCTAGAGCGTCACATATTTCAAAGTGATCAAGGGCTATAACTCTGGCAGGAATTATCGGAAATCGCTGAAAATCAATAGAATTCTTTGTCTCATGATCTTAAACACTGTGTATAAATTTAAAGTCAATCGGATATTATCTTTCGCCTCTAGACCATCCACCAGATATTTTGAAGTGATCAAGGGCCATAACTCTGGCAGTAATTTTTGGAAATTGCTGAAAATCAATGGGCTTTTCCGTCTCAGGACCTTAAACACTGTGTATAAATTTAAAGTCAATCGGATATTAACTTTAGCCTCTAGAGCGCCCACAAGCAATTGTGGACGTCTGCCAGCCGGACAGGGGCAACGACAATATCCACATTTCAATGTGGGCGTATACAAAAGGTCACATTCCCATTCGTGACCATTATACTATAAAATCTTAAAATGAGGTATCCAGATAGAGTAGAATTATATTTGATAGAGAATACCCACTGACTTTATACATGTAGTTGAAGCAGAATTAACAAATAATAGATCAGAACGATAACTGTTTGATCTTACTCTAGGTTTATGAAATGAAATGTTTTAAAATCCTGCTGTTTATTCAATGACTATACAATGTGCCTTGCAAGGCCTTCCGTCCCACACCACTGAAGAACTTTCTTGGTCAACAGTCAGCACCAGGATCGAACACGGGACATCCAGGTTTTAGCGACCCAATGTCTGACTCACTGAGCCACCATGGTTCTTTAAAGGTTAATCAAGAGTAGAGTGAAAGAATGACAACTTACTTATAGTTGATTGAGAGTGGAACTTGCCAGGATAATAAACCTTGTTGTTGTCGAACGACAAACATGATAGGGAAACTGTTGTTTACTTTATCACTGGACGTGTGAATTCGAACTGCAGTAGTCTAAAATAACAAGTGGTACAGGCATGTAGCCTACATGTAATGGTATGCACATGTATCAACAAACAAGAACAACCAACTCTTTATGTAAAACTTACATGTATCTTTAATTTTAATTACATGCATTCAGTATGACCAACGATTTTCAGGATGGCTGTCTGGATTATCTGATACATCCTCGGTATCCCCTGTCATATCATTCCTCGTTCCATTCTACTCCATTAATAATATCTCAGAGAAGCCAAAATCTTCAAGTTTCATTGAAATCGGTTGGTAATTGCGGTCTGCAGTCGTGCCACATGAAATGTGTGGTAACCTGATATCTTGGAAACTTTGCATACTCTGAGAGCTTATTATTGTAATCATAATCTGCAATTTTCATTGAAATCGGTTGGTAATTGCGGTCTGTAGTCGTGCCACATGAAACTGCTAACCGGAAGTGGTCAAAACTTAGGCTACTCTGAGATATTATTAATGTAATTATAATCTGAAAGTTTCATTGAAATCGATTGATAATTGCAGTACGGAGACTTACCACATGTAAGAACATCCCCTGAAAAACCCATTTTCATTATTGGTTTGGTTGGGACATATACATCAAGCAAACATTACAATATAGTTCTGTGTGATGTTCAGTTGAAATATTCAACCCAAAAATATATCATGCATAAATCACACATCTCATATGCTAATTAGATCTAAATGGAAGGAAGTCTGTGAAAAATTACCGTGATCAACTTTGTTTATTACAAGTTTGACTAACCTCATTTGTTTCATTGTATGAAAAGACGAATAAATACTGATGATGTCTGTCAATTTGAACATCTTCGTACAAGTTTGAAAAATTTCCTGTAATAACAGTTGTATTCAGATCATTCGATCCATCAAGGTAGTTCATCAAGTCAAAAGATCTAGCACTAGCAGACGACGAGAAATTCATGAAAACGGCTGCCAAAATTAAACAGATCTGCGCCGATTTTTGCAGGCATGATGTCGCCATTTTTCCGTTCTAACCAATAGATGCAATAAATAGATTGTTCTACAATACTTTATAAGCAAATAATTGCTTCCTTAAAATAGAATCAGTTCTATATCGACAAAAACTCTTTCTAGGAAGCATTATATTCCAGCTCTTATATTAACCATCACGTGAAACGTTATAAAAAATGTAAACAAATAAAATGGATTCAGCAATTTTTGAACGGAACGAAATGAAAAGAAAATGTCACAATATCTCATGGCTGCAGACTCGTCAAGTTCATTTTAAGATCATAGACACAACAGTTTGCATGGCGATAATTCATTTTGGATTAACAAAATCTAAATAATGCTAAAAAAAATATAATCACGATTTTGCTTCTTTTCATAAAAAAAAATATCTGTGTTCAATAATTTGTAACATTGAAAATCAATCGAGATTAACAGGTCTCTCGTATGTTTCGTGGCTCAGGTTGCTAATTGTAGGCTACTTGGCGAGGTTCGGGTGTTTCCGGGGTCCAAAATAAGGCGGCTTTATATAAATGAGAATATAGGGGAACCCTAACCCTAACCCTTTTTAGAAGACTGAACTTGGATCCAATTTACCCTTTACCCCTCTTAAAAAGGTTAGGGTTAGGGTTCGGATTTGTATTCCCCTACCCCAACTCATTTATATAAACCGGCCATTTTGGACTTCGGAATACCCGAAATACGTCAGTTTTTATTATGAATTAATACGATTCAATTTCATTGATGCAAAGCATTAATTGTGATATCACATGCCTATATCATTATCTCGCGCTTTGAGTGTCCATCTCATTCAACCATTTGATAATAAAGGATAAAGCAGAAGACCGAACTGTTACACTTTTCTCATAAAAAGTGGTGGGGGGGGGGCTCTACCAGTTCCCCTTTTCAGGGGATGTTAATAAGGGGGACTAGCCATAAATTTCAAGTCTCTACAACCACAGAAACTGACAGGTGCGAAGGGAAAATAGCGTCGAATTTATTAGATTATTCTATAGATTTTTTTAATACAATTATTCATATTAAAGTGACAGAAAATGAATGTACTACTACTTGAACCCCTCTCCATAGGCGTACATTGGTTTAATTGGAATTGAGATGGGCAAAGAAGGGGGTTTTGGTTGCAAAACAATACAATTAATAGGGCGGTGCATACACTACCGGACCCAAAATAACCCCAAACTACCCAAGACAACCTGTATATTTCGAATACAACAACATATTTTTATTGTTTTTTTCAATTTTTTTATATACAGAGATGATTAATATTCCCGAAATTTTACTCTATTTTTTAAAAAAGTTCTGAAAAAAAAACGGGAAATAAATGGAAGATTGCAGCAAGAAAGACAACTCTTATTGCCATACATATTGTTAAATAAACTGTTAAACACTAGTTTTTTTTATGATGTTTTCTAACTTTATATGTATAGGTGATTAATATTCCCTAAATTGTGCTCTATTTTTTTAATAGTTCTGAAAAGAAAACGGAAATAAATTAATCCACTATGGATGCAGACCACCATTAATTTCCCAATTGACTTCAATTTCAATGTTAATTCGTTGACCGGCTTCAAATTTTGCCCAAATTTTCGTTGGGTTGAATGGTTTTCACTACAGACAGAGAAACAAATGGTCATGTCTTTCCATCAAAATTTGTATGACGTTGACCACCAAAATTTTGAGATACACAAACTTAAAGAAGCATACCAAAAACATGTAACTATATCGCCGTACATATTGATCGTAACCAATCCTTCCGGTACACCGAAATAAATAGTTGCTAATACCCTTACGGTATAAGGAATAAATATGCCAAGTTCCAAAACAAAAACACAAATTTGGCATGGCTCTGCCCCTGGGGCCCGGACATGGACATGGACCAATATAAATAGGTCCAACCTTATGTCGCATCATGCCCAAATAGAATAAAATCGGTTACTAACTGCAACCTGTAAACTATTTATAGAAAAAAATATTAACAAAAAAGTGGGTGTAGCACCATCCAAAGGGGGAGAGAGAGAAAGAAATGGGATTTAACGTCCACTCGACACAAACTAGATTATTTAAGGACTAACATGGTTTAATTTTATTTCAATATTCGCTTGCCCGTAGGGGTCTTTAGGGGTCTTTAGCAGTGAGACGAAACTGGAGGACCCGGAGAAAACCCATGAAGTTTGACAGGCGACCATACTGTACCTGTGTTATTTCGCTGTAAATGGGGGTAATATGATGACGAGATGGAAAAATTGACTACCTACATCAAAGCGCAATATTAATTGTTCATGAAGTTAAGTGAATCGTCCAAAGACGTTCACTCTACGATCAGGACTGTTCTCTATGAATATCTTGGCGACATGCTTTTGGTACTGATCATGAAGGGGGTCATTTTATGCACCTCACACACCATCAGGTGGTTCAGTTGTTTTTGCGTCATGGAGTTCATGTGGATATGTCCTGGCGATCAAAATCAGGGGGGGGGGGGCAGAGACATATTCGTCCCCCCACCCTTTCGATTCTAAGTAGGTGGGTGGGGGGGGGGGGCATCCCTCCCCCTAAATCGCGTAGTTTACATTTAAGTACTGATTATCTCGAATTATGGCGGATCGGGATGTTTGCGATATGGGTATTACTTTTTACCGCCGACTACCGCCGACCACCGCCGACTACCGCCGACCAATACTTTTACCGCCGACCGTCGTGAAATTACCGCCGACCAAATACTTGTTACCGCCGACCAAATGCTTAATGATTCCTTGTTACCGCCGACTATATAAAATTAATTAAATTATTAGTGACAAATAAATAGATTTGGTTAAATACACAGAGTTTGATAAAAATATAGATTTTATTATATATAAATATGGTCGACAACCCTAACCCTAACCCTCGCACTAATAGAAGATAGGCCTAAAATGTTATTTATTTATAACCAGTGGCTGAAACAATCTTGATATATTTGCCCTTCAATATCTAAATTGTAGTTTTGTCCTTCCATATTCTTTAAAATATATATGAATGTTTTTCGACATTTGTACGTGATTACACCTCAAATAAAAAATAACATTCTTGTATTCTTTTTTATAAAAAAAAAACAACCGTAAAATAGTCGGCGGTAACAAGGAATCATTAAGCATTTGGTCGGCGGTAACAAGTATTTGGTCGGCGGTAATTATATTACGGTCGAAAGTCATTACAATGCGGTCGGCGGTAAAAAGTATTTGGTCGGCGGTAATTACACGACGGTCGGCGGTAAAAAGCATTTGGTCGGCGGTAGTCGGCGGTGGTCGGCGGTAAAAAGTACCACCGCCACGATATAATTAGATAAGCAAGTGGTTGACTCCACTGAGACGTAAATTACAAGAGACTGGACAATGAAGGCTACAACGGGACTATAATACTTATTGCGTTTTTACAAATTTTAAATTTACTTATTGTTCGATTGGTGGTTGCATTTTGAAAATATTTATTTTTGCATAAATATTTCAATTAATTTTCCAGGTCGTGTTGCAGTTTTATTCTTCTCTTCTTAAAACACCCTGTAATTTATTATAACAAGATAGCCAATAACTTCTCCCTTCACCTGTTGAAAGCAGAGCAGAGGAATAGAAAAAAAACCCAACGAGTAAATTTATTTGTGGATATTGCGCCGTTCTTCTGATATCTCATTGCTTATGGTTGATAAATATGTATTATCTGTAGCCGACGTGGCAGCTTATAGTCAAAAGTAATCCACAAATTAAAGGTTTTTTTGGTTGGCTGGTAAGGTAAGGTTGTCAAATGAAACAAAAGCGAAAAGCAGACAAACCAGCTTGCAGCAATCCAATTTGCAAGCGGATGTTATGTTATATAATAATAATATTTGCCATTCCAAATCAATGATTTACATTCAACTATATCAGGATGCATATCAGGATGGGTATTAGAAAGTATCCGACTCTATTCAGTAGTGAGGCTACTCCACTTTCGTACACCTACAGTGATTTCTGTTATTGTAGAGACTTCAAATTTTCAGATGTGACTACTAATTATAGGTCAAATAAGTGCCCTACTAGGTCATCTCATCCAAATTCTTCGACATTGAAAACACAAATTATTTGTCAATTAAAATCAACATTGATGTTGTGATCTTACCGGGAAAAGATGGGCTTCTGATATCCAATATTTAAGACAAAATAAACATTTTACCATTGGTACATGAATCGTGTACCATAATGCATTTCAGCACCATTTGTAACAAGGGACTCAAAGAACGAGGCTAGACATATTCCACTAGTCATGTCAATTAAACAGGGACGTTATATTCTTATCTGGAGAGCATGGGCAGTAAAGTAAATACTATCGGTGTAGACTGGAATAACCAGATGTTTGAGATTGCCATTCGATTGAGACTTCTGGCATATTTCACCGAACATAACTGATTTGAAATTAGAGTAAAAACAGAAACGATTGAATGTAAATCAGTTTATATACATTCATATTACATTATTATATGCGTTGCGACCCATTTGTGTCGATTTCTACGTCCAAAATATTAGCAATTTACCTCCTTTAAAGATGACTACAAGTTGCAAGTACGGTAGGCCTACTCATTTTGGAAATGAAATGAAATGGGAATAAACTGTAAATATGGAAAAACAGCTTCTTATTTATTTGGGCGACGGTACGAAGAGTATTCGCCCAAATAAATCAGTAGCTGTTCTTCCATATAGTTTATTGCTCTATCCAGTTACTAAATGCCTCTCAAAGATTATGAAATGAAATGGGGTTTAACGTCCTACTGGGCTGATGAAGACGGGCATATGCCAAACAGTGTGCTATGAGGGAAATTTTGCCCGGACAGCGACACTAAGGCCTACTCTTATATCAAATTCTAACTGTCAAGGGATCTTTTACATGCACGCCAATGTATACACAGGACCTCGGTTTTTCGTCCCACCCACACGACTAGACAGCTGTCCTTGTCAGGCCCTCAGTCCTGCATCACTGACAGGGGGGAAACCAGACCGGAAAATCTGGATGAACTTTCTTGGCCAATGCAGGGATCGAACACCCGACCTCCAGGCTAGCAAGCCAGCGTCTTACCCACTTAGCCACGTTATCCCCGTGTTGAAAAGGAAGTCACAGGACCAGGTGAGTATTGATAATCATGAGGCTGACCTTAAAAATATCTTTGTTTCGCCTAACGCGACCGACTAACTAAAACCACCCCCGACTTAAATTATTTTATTGCACTTTTTCGCGATCTTTTTATTTTATTTTGTGTGTCAACCTGAAATATATCACGGGAGTTATTTCCCTTTACTATGGCTATGGTTTGATTCATTATTGAAACTGGTTGATCAAGACGAAAGCGTCATAGGTGTCGCTTCTCAACAAAATGGTTGCAGACGAAAGCACGTCCATTCCCACGAAATGATTCTGCCTCTATGTCTGTGGGGCGTCGTTTTAAACATGACGACGATATTTTCAATATCCGTTTTCGAGAAAAATAAAGGCACAACCCGCACGATCGTTAAAAACGTGTTGAGGGAGTTTCAAACGTGAGTTTGTCGCAATTTGTGTGCGAGTCGTGCATCAAGAAAAATCCCGATGTCATTGATTTGTTTGCCAATAAAAGAAGACGAATGTTTGCACCCGGAAAATTATCAAGCTGTCAAATTAGCTCTTAAAAAAAAGAAATCTGAAAAAAAAACCCGACCTACCGACCCTTCACCTCGATTGTGGGTCGGGTTTGGTGAAACAAAGATATTTTTAAGGTCAGCCTGATGTGCAGACATCAACACCAACCATTTGTCAGCAGATGTCAAGATTTGGTAAAAGGAAAAGCTAGAGCATGTCTGAATAGAGGAAACTCACACTTTGGGTCTAGCCCTATATTTATATCAATGGAGGAAACCCACAGTCTAGGTCTATGTAGACGAGACTTTGTAGCTTGATTCAACTTGTATTATATACCGGTACCCTACATGTAACTACCAAGGTATATTGTTATACAAATGGTGAACTAACCTAAAAATTGACAAATAATATTAATTTTAAATAATGTAATGATTATTTTTTTGAATAACTGGTTTGTTTTGTTTGAAATTATTTCAGGTAGAAATATTCAAGATGGAAGAGAATGGTCACATTAATCAGAATCAGTCAAATATGGAAATTCCTGAAATTCAACAACAATCAAATAATCCAAATAACGAAAATATTCTCATTATAATGGAGAATGAAAATGGTGGAAATACAACCTTATCCCCGGTAGAATATACAGAATCTGTGCAGACGGTCAGCAGTAATCCAATGACAGTCACCATCTCAGACACTCATGCTGTCTTCGCACAACCGATGGCTATGGAAGATTATCGTGAAACAACGATCGATTCACAAGGAAAGACTGTTGATATTGGTAATATCACTGGAACGAAATGTCTAGTTTGCGAGGATCGTGCGTCTGGATATCATTATTCCGTGTTTTCGTGTGAAGGTTGTAAGGGATTTTTTAAGCGTACCGTACAGAAAGGCTTGACCTACGTGTGTCGAGAACAAGGAAACTGTGTTATTAACAAATCTACGAGAAATAGTTGCCAACATTGTAGATATAATAAATGCACGCAGATGGGCATGAAGAAAGAGGGTAAGATGGAGGTTATTTTTATCTCTATTGATATAAAGGGCGGCATATTCCCAGCATTGTTACTTAGTTCTTCAACCAGACACTCCTCCATCCTACACCACTGACACGGTTAATCACCGCGACTCTACTCTGTTTCTTGCTAGGCTCCCCATCCTACACCACTGACCAGGGTAAACACCACGACTCTACACTCTTCCTTGCTAGGCCCTGCATCCTACACCACTGACAAGGAAAATCACCACGACTCTACGCTGTGTTCTAGGCCCTCCATCCTACATCACTGACACGGTTAATCACCATGACTCTACACTCTTCCTTGCTAGGCCTTCCATCCTACACCACTGACAAGGGTAAACACCATACTCTACACTCTTCCTTGATGGACTCTCCAAGGGTAATCACCACACTCAAAAATCCTGTGAAATTTTATTGGTCAACACCGGGATCGAACCGAGGGTGTCCTGCCTGGTTAGTTAGCTGGAACCTTAATCACTGAGCCACTGACTGTGGCTCCCATTTAAAACTACATTTACCAATATTTTATCAGGTTTTTAATACATGTGATATTAATTCAATATCAGCTGGTATCTCAAGATTATTTCAATTTAATATTTGAAAATCCTAATGATTTAGAATATTAGTACATGTATAGTAGATGGCATGGGGTATATGATGTGACCACTTGCACTCTCCCACTGTTTAAAACGTTAACACTGTATCATAAGGCCTGTCATTGGGTCAACTGGTGTGGTTTCGAATCCCCGGTTGTACGTGACAAGGAGTAGGGTCACCTGTCTAACCTCATGGGTTTTCTCCGGATCCTCCGGTTTCCTCCCACTGCTAAAGACCCCTACGCTCAAGCGAATTATTGAAATAAAATTAAACCATATGTTAGTTCCGAAATGACCTAGTTTGTGTCGAGTGGACGTTAAACCCCATTTCTTTCTCTCCGTAAATGAAATGAAATAGGCTTCTGAACAACTGGCGTAATGTGGATAGGATACCGTAAAACACAATAGATGTATAAATTGAAAGTAGACTCAGTTGACTTGTGATCAAATCATTACTTGTCCAAAAAGCCACTGAAGACAGATTGATATTTATTTTGTTATTTTCAGCGGTTCGTGAAGACCGATCACCAGGAGGGAAGCACCGGCACAAGCGCCAACGAACAGAAGAAATGGCAGGTTGTGTGATGCCAGACGGTACTTTGGCAGCTGTTCCAAATAAAGACGAATTTCAAGATACGATTATTGAAACATTGGTTAACGCTCAACCAGATTATTTTCCTAAATTAGACAGTAAGTTACATTTGAACATCTACACCTGAAGTCACAGTACATATAAGTTACACCCAGGCATCGATATTTCCGCGCAGATGCGCACGGCGTGCGCAGGCACATTTGGTTTAAAAAAAAATTTTGCAGGCACATTTTTAAAGATGTAGCCACGGCGGGCGGCGCCTGCGCCCGGCACTATTTTTTGCCGCCCAGCACAAAGAAAAAATCGAAGAAAGCCGCCCAGTCGTATTTAAACCCCTTCGTCCTTCTCTGTACACAAACGCGGCGCTCAAAATTTACCACGGCAATTAAACGGCAAAGCCATGGTAAAAGTAAAAGCCGACGTACGCAAACCATGTCTGTCACGGCATAATTTTTTTTTGTTTGTCGTAGTAGACCCTATCATCCCAAATTAGTTTAAAGAAAGATGTATTGGTATTTTGTTTATTTATACTTAGAAGATGTGTAGGCTTAGGTATATTCATTTTACAATTATTCTACGGTCTTTATAATATTTGTTTATTTGCCGTAAATAGGTCACCCAGACCAATTTACGGTACTCCAATGTTACAGGTTTGAATGTCGTAATTGTCCAACACGTGCCTGCAAATTTTCATGATGTTTCTTATTTTATTTCTTACCTGTGTTGACCGTGGATTTGCTACGGCCCGAGAGTAGGACTAGGAGGACGATGAGAGCTTTCTCAGTTTCTGCCTGACCTGATTCTCATTCCACCGTAATAATAATAATATTCGTGAGACACGTACAACAACTTTACAAATAAGTCAAATAATACAACGTGTTTTAATTATCAATATCTACCTGTTGTCATAATTCGTTGTACTCAAATAAAACACAAACACCGTTTTAAGAATCGTTTTCATTTTTAATCTCAAAGTAATAAAGTAATATTTGAAAAAAAAAAACCCAACAAAATAACAAATGCCTAAAGGTCCTCAACTATCCAGAGAAACAGAGTGGGGCGGGACAATTTTATGCTCGGTCGGGTGGTGTCAAAAAGTTTTTAGATCCCTGTATCATTGATGAAAATTAAGTGAATTTAGTAAAATTTGAATATATAAATGGAAATTTGATTTGCACTGAACCAAATACAAAAGGCAGCAGATGCTCTGAAAATACACCAACAAGGGTTTAATTTTCATAAAAGACCACGCCCCCCTCCCAAAAATTTTTTTGCCTCGCTCCGCTCCCCAGATATATTTATACACCACTCACCAAATCATGGCTACATCCCTGTGTTTCAGTATGACCCTGCAGGCACATTTTCAAGTGTGTGCGCAGGCACACTCAACTTTTATAGAGCCCTGGTTACACCTGAACTCCATGATAATCTCCTACCAGTCTTTTTTGATATCAAAAAATATCAACACAAGTTGATAAAGTAACAAAAAACGAGGCTCTGCCGAACTTTTTTTTACTTTATATTTTTTGATATCAAAAAAGACGAGTAGGAGATTTTATTTATCACCCAATCCCTTCTTACATGCACAAATAGATAAATATAATTCTTTGCTGTAGATTTCACTTTTACTGAACATTACGGGCGACGTAGTGATACATCATTTTTTGACAGCAATTCAACCATTGCAAAGTCCTTTATATTGACCCAGTGTTTCCATCAAGGTCAATTGAATAATAATAGTTCATTTTTAATTTAAAAAAAGGTACTTTTAATAATAAATGAACTGTTCTTTGAAAATAAAAAAAAAGTAGTTCCTTTTCAACTGACCAATCAAATTCATGTAAAGGAGATATTGCAGTAGTTTATGAAATATATCACACAAGCGATATCTACTGTAGAATGTATTATTGGGTGATAAATGTATATACACGACTCACAGTAATATTTATTCGCCTACAATTTTTCATTGACTTTAAAAAAAAAAAAATGTTCAAAGATATCAATGTTACACCGTTCAGTTTGAATTACGTGAAAATCTGACCGAAACTTCCCCAAAAAATGGCCTCTCCTCTTTATGAAAAAAAATATGAAATATGTATACCAAGGTTGTGGACCCGCTAGAGGACACATTTTTTGTCCAATACAGTTGAAACTTAATATTATATCAAAAGATCTTGGATGAGTTTGATTTTGGTGCATATTGGAACTTCAATGTTCCCTGAATTTTACACAAAATATTGAAGATAAGTATGACATGTACTAAACTATAACAGTAAATCATAAATCAGTTTTTATACGCCCACATTGAAATGTGGTCGTATATTGTTGTCGCCCCCCCCCCCCCTCGGTCCGTCGGTCTGTCCGGCGTTCACAATTGCTTGAGGACATTCTAGAGGCTAAATTTAATATCGGATTGACTTGAAATTTATACACAGTGTTTAAGGTCATGATCAGACGACGAATCCTATTGATTTTCAACGATTTCTGATAATTACTGCCAGAGTTATGGCCCTTGATCACTATGAAAAATCTTGAGGAGGTGCAAAGAGGCTAAAGTTAATATCCGACTGCTAAAAAATAATACTATTAATAGCACTCGTCGTAGTCATACGGCAAAGTCAACGGACCTGGTTCTGACTTTAGCTATTGTTAATCCAATCTAAATACTTCTCGGCATTTCTAACTATATTCTACCGTGTTTATTATTTACTTAAAAACGTAACCACCATTCAAAATATAATCATAAAGGCTAGAAAATGACATTATTCTTGATTCGTTACGACATTCAACACGTTTCATATCTTGTAATTTCTCGCAAGAATTCTACTTTGGTTTTTATACGCCCACATTGAAATGTGGTCGTATATTGTCGTCGCCGCCGTCCGTCCGGCGTCCACAATTGCTTGTGGACGCTCTAGAGGCTTAAGTTAATATCCGATTGACTTTAAATTTATACACAGTGTTTAAGGTCATGAGACGAAGAAGCCTATTGATTACTGCCAGAGTTATGCCCTTGATCACTTCAAAAAATCTTGTGGACGCTCTACAGGCCAAAGTTTATATCCGATTGACTTTAAATTTATACACAGTGTTGAAGGTCATAAGACGAAGAAGCCTATTGATTTTCAGCGATTTCCGATAATTACTGCCAGAGTTATGGCCCTTGATCACTTAAAAAAATCTTGTGGACGCTCTACAGGTCAAAGTTAATATCTGATTGACTTTAAATTTATACACAGTGTTTAAGGTCATGAGAAAATGAAGCCTATTGATTTTCAGCGATTTCAGATAATTACTGCCAGAGTTATGGCCCTTGATCACTTTAAAAAATCTTGTGGACGCTCTAGAGGCTAAAGTTAATATCCGATTGACTTTAAATGTATACACAGTGTTTAAGGTCATGAGACAAAGAAGTCTATTCATTTTTAGCGATTTTCGATAATTACTGCCAGTGTTATGGCGCTTGATTAATTCAAAAAATCTTGTGGACTCTCTAAAGGCCAAAGTTAATATCCGATTGACTTTAAATTTATACACAGTGTTTAAGGTCCTGAGACGAACAAGCCTATTGATTTTCAGCGATTTCAGATAATTACTGCCAGAGTTATGGCCCTTGATCACTTTGAAAAATCTTGTGGACGCTCTAGAGGCTAAAGTTAATATCCGATTGACTTTAAATTTATACACAGTGTTTAAGGTCATGAGACAAAGAAGTCTATTCATTTTTAGCGATTTTCGATAATTACTGCCAGTGTTATGGCCCTTGATCACTTCAAAAAATCTTGTGGACGCTCTAAAGACCAAAGTTAATATCCGATTGACTTTAAATTTATACACAGTGTTTAAGGTCATGAGACAAAGAAGTCTATTCATTTTCAGTGATTTTCGATAATTACTGTCACAGTTATGGCCCTTGATCACTTTGAAAAATCTTGTTATGCTCTAGAGGTTAAAGTTATCATCCGATTGACTTCAGATTGATACACAGAGTTTAAGAGCTTGAGACAAACAAGTATATTGATTTTCAATGAATTTTTATGACTTTAACAGCTAAATCCATGATATTAAAAGTTTTGTATACTAAACGTTAGCATGGGGCAAAACTTTATAAAAACCAAACAAATTCTAACGGTTTTCTGATACATTGTAATTACATCATGAGTTGTTACTCTTAATCAGATTTTAGTGTATTATAAATGTTTCATTACCGAAAAAAGTAAAACTATGCGACAACACTTATTGACTGCCCGGACGATTTAGCTGCTGTGGGCGGATGTTTCGTTGCCTGGCAACCTATCTTTAGTTAAATTAACCAATCATAAAAATTCTACTTGCAAGCGAGGAATTATTTCTTTTTTGTCCAATCAATAGACGCCTTCCAATTTACTTTATTCTATTCTTAGTAACATTGTGTAATCGTAATATTATTGCCATCTGTCACGTACACGTACGAAGGGGGTATATCATAGTAGATATATATTGAATTAAAAAATGTTTTAAATGAACCAAGTTAACCAGGTTAACAAATAAATATGGCCTTGGATAGTTTAAATTTTCATTAAAGAATTGTACATGTCTATGAAAAAATTCCTGAAATTTTTGCGCATGTAATGCTTTTTAGACGATAATAGCGTGCGCACGAGTAATGACTCACACCCCCTGACAAACTCTGTTTTATGTTTAAAATTGATACCATACAGTTAAACGGTTACTAACCGGTTAATAGCTACAGTTATTCGAATAACAAAAAGTCCTAACCGTAGGAGCACTAGTTTTCTCCGGGTTCTCCGGTTTCCTCCCACTGATAAAGACCCCTACATGCGAATTGTTGAAATAAAATTGAACCATGTGTTAGTCCTAAAATGACCTAGAAATTAAACACTTTTAAATTGGACTCACACTCATTATTAAAATTGAATGGTCAGCTTTAAACTGGACAGAAATACAAATTAAATGATTTATGGTGATTTTAAACAGTTTTTATGAATTTTTAAACAAATATTGGATACTAAACAAATGTGAAAGAAATCAGTGCTAGATACACAAGATTAAATGATACTCATATTACAGTGCTACAGGTCACAGTTTTTATTCAATTTTGATGAAACTTAAGATATAGGTCTATCTCCCAAAGATCTGGTCTGGTCTGAGTGTGCCGTTCAAAATTTCGCGGCATACCTTGTAGGTTTTCTCCAGTTTCCTCCCACTGCTAAAGACCTGTAAACGCAAGCGAATTATTGAAATAAGATTGAACCATATGTTAGTCCCGAAATGACCTGGTTTGTGTTGAGCTCTCTCTTTCTTTCTCACTCTCTCTCTGGCCAATACAGTATGGTTATTATTATTATTTCAGAGGCTATTAATGGATCATCTATAAGTGTGAATGAGTTAATGCAGTATGGTTATTCAGAGTTGAAATATATTATAGAGTGGGCCAAGAAAGTACCAGGTAGGTCTCTACATTACTAATGATGTATGGGATGAGGTAATTGACCAACCATCTTCACATGTATGGGTGGTGCGTTGGTATCAAAAGCAAACAAATGAAATGAAATGGGGTTTAACGTCCTACTGTTCTGCTCCTATACTGGGCTAATGAAGACGGGCATACGCCATACAGTGTGCTATGAGGGAAATTTTGCCCGGGCAGCGGCACTATCGTCTACTCTTATATCGAATTCCAACTGCCAAGGGATCTTTTATGTGGATTCCAATGTATACACGGGACCTCAGTTTTTCATATCATCCGAAGGCCTAGACAGCTGTCCTTGTCAGGCTCCCTGTTCTGCACCACTGACAAGGGGAAAACACGTCGGAAAATCGGAATGAACTTTCTCGGCCAATGCAGGGATCAAACACCCGACCTCCAGTCTAGCAAGCCAGCGGCTTAACCACCTAGCCACCGTGGTTCCCCAAAAGCAAAGGTCCATCAGTTTCCATATTTGAGTGGTAAGGAAACGAGCACCTAGTTCGGATGAAATGGAAAAAAGACTTCCAATCTAATATGTAACAGTATTTTCTTGTCTCGTAGCAGACTGCATGGCGTACACTCGCCTTCAATAGTATTTTCTCGTTTTGTAGCAGGCCTCGTGGCGTACACCCGTCTGGTTGGTGCCGAAAGTCCATCATATGTCAGTTTGTTTCCTAAAGAAGTTGTTGTGTAGTTGGGGCGTTAAGTTACCGACTGTCATGTTTATATACGTAATTGAATTAAACGAAGAATAGGTGAAAATGTTACTCTCCTTCCTGCCATGACACATGTGGTCATAAAAGACACAATAATGGTCGTTAATAGGGTTGTCGAGTGGTCTAGGGTTGTCAAGTGGTTGTATGCATGTGCATGTGCTTTATATTATAAGGTCCATCATTGAGTCAAGCGTTGTGGTTTCAATTCCAGGCTTGTATGTAACAAGGAGACGTGTTGCACTGTAATCGGGGTATCATTTAATCTTGTGTATTTAGCACTAATTTCTTTCACATTCATTCAATATCAAATCTTTGTTAAATATCACCCAAAATCATCTAATTTGTACTTGTGTCCAGTTTAAAGCTGACTATTCAATTTTGATAATGAATGTTCAATTTACAAGCGTTTAATTTCTTGAATTGGACACTCATTATCAAAATTAATCAGTCAGCTTTAAACTTGACACAAGTACAAATTAGATGAATTTTACAAATTTTTAAACAGAGATTTGATATTAAATGAATGTGAAAGAAATTAGTGCTAGATACACAAGATTAAATGTTACCCGGGTTACAGTGTTGTCTGTCCAACGTCTTGAATTTTCTCCAGTTTCCTCCCACAACTAAAGACCCCTATGCAAAGGCAAATTATTGAAATAAAATTGAACCATCTCTCTCTCTCTCTCTCTCACAGGGGGGTTGGGTGGCTGAATGGTTAGTGTGCGCGCGCTGTATCATAAAGTCTGTCATTGAGTCGACTGGCGTGGTTTCGAATTCTTGGTTGTACGTGACAAGGAGTAGGGTCGCCTGTCCAACCTCGTGGGTTTTCTCCGGGTCCTCCGGTTTCCTCCCACTGCTAAAGACCCCTATGCGCAAGCGAATTATTGAAATAAAATTAAACCATATGTTAGTCCCGAAATGACCTAGTTTGTGTCGAGTGGAGTTAAACCCCATTTCTCTCTCTCTCTCTCTCTCTCTCTCTCTCTCTCTCTCTCTCTCTCTCTCTCTCTCAGAGGATTACTGCACCATCCATTACTACATCCTATATATATAATATATACACCCATTACTACCTTATTTTACGTGCTGGTATTTTACCTGCTGGTATTTTACCTGCTGGTATTTACAGGCTTCCAGGAACTTAGTATGGAAGATCAGATGTGTCTATTAAAATCATCTTTTATGGAATTAAACGTGCTACGACTGGCTTACAGGTAAGCATAGTCTGTCTCATACACAACACTTGTCACAGCATATACCTAGAATATTCCTCGGATTCAATAATTGAGAGGAATTTGATTCCATGGCTGATTTAGGTGGATTGGAAGTTTTAAAACTTGGAGATTGTTCATTGGGACTTTGAGTGCCACTGTATTGTTTTTTTCTCTTGGTCAAGTAATAACAATTATAACCATTTATCTGCTGAAAAACAACAGAGAAAGGGACCAGTGTGCAAGGAAATAGATGTGAAGCCTCTTGTACACAAGTACCGTCCCTATATTATCTATTGTACACAAGGCCCAAGTACATTTCCTTATTATCTATTGTACAGAAACTTGGAATTCATATACATTTGAACCACATGACAAAATGTGCATAAGATGTTTTGTAGTTCAATATAACACTTGTAGAAGGAGGAGTTGAACTGCTTATTAATGTGATAAACAAATTGAATACAAGAAATAGAGAAAGCAAACCGTGATTACATCTTGTATAGTTTAAGCTTTGATTATCATGTATTTTAAATTACAGATCAATGAATCTGGGTAATTGTATTAAGTTTGCCGAGGGTGTGGTCATTCCTATTGATGTGGCTCAAGGTATGGGCTGGGGTAAAGAATTAATCAACGCTACCATGGAATTCACAGGACGACTTCAAGAATTAAAAATTGATAGAACAGAATTCTGTATAATAAACGCCATTGTTCTCACATTTCCAGGTGAGTGTCTTATTTAATCAGTATTCTCCCTATATGACAATAAGTATTCCCTATTTGACAGTAAGGATTCTCTATTTGACAAGAATTATTCCCTATTTGACAGTAGGTATTCCCTATTTGACAGTAAGTATTCCCTAATTTGATAGTAATTATTCCCTATTTGACAGTAGGTATTCCCTATTTGACAGTAAGTATTCCCTAATTTGACAGTAATTATTCCCTATTTGACAGTAAGAAAATCTCAAGTAAATATTAATTTATAAAAAAAGTAATGATTATTATCTTTTTTTCTTTAAAATGGTCTTTTCAATATTTGTTTTACAGATGCTGTTGGTATCCAAGACAAATTCAGCGTGTTGGGTCTCCAAACCAAAATATTAGACACCCTTAGACGATACACCTTACATAACTACCCAAATGAAACACGTCGCTATGGTAAAACGTTGCTACGGTTACCATCGTTAAGGACAGTTAGTGCTAAAGCAGCCGAGAAGTTTTTGTCGTTGACTGTAGATGGTTCAATTCAACTCAATGATCTGGTATTTGAGATGATCACGTGATCAGTGAATTGGCCAATAACCATTTTGAGCTCTTATCAAGAATGTTTAATTTTACTTTTGTATAAATGGACATTGTACGGTTATTGTAGGGTTATTTTATATTTAGCTTTGTTTGTTTCATTTTAACCCATCGAGCCAACGACCCAAAAAATTGATGATGTCACTTTTCATGGGCAGACAATCAGTGTGGAATATTATCAGTGGTTTAACGCATGCGCGTGAAATCAGGAGGTCTGTCATTGAGTAAAGTGGCGTGGTTTCGATTCCCTGCTTGAATGTGACAGAGAGTAGAGCCACGTGTCTAACCTCATGGGTTTGTTTTCTCTGAGTCCTTCGGTTTCCTCCCACTGCTAAAGATCCCTACGCGCAATCGAATTATAGAAATAAAATTGAATCATATATTAGTCTCCAAATGACCTAGTTTGTGTGTCGTTATACAGATCATTATTATTATTATTATCAATATTTTTATTATTATTATTCAGTAAATATTGGTATTCAGTAAATATTATTACTGTTTCTTACAATTATAGAATCGAATTATAGAAATAAAATTGAATCATATATTAGTCTCGAAATGACCTAGTTTGTGTGTCGTTGTACAGAATGTTATTATTATTATTATTATCAATTTTATTATTATTATTATTCAGTAAATATTATTACTGTTTCTTACAATTACTTGATAAAGTCTAAGGATTCCTAGTTGAAACTTCCTAATAAACAGTAATTTCTTAATAAAACAGTAATTTTCATAATAAACAGTAATTTCTTAATAAACAGTAATTTCTTAATAAACAGTAATTTCTTAATAAACAGTAATTTCCTAATAAACAGTAATTTCCTAATTTACTAATAAACAGTAATTTCCTAATAAACAGTAATTTTCTAATAAACAGTAATTTCCTATTAAACAGTAATTTACTAATAAACAATAATTTTCTAATAAACAGTAATTTACTAATAAACAGTAATTTACTAATAAACAGTAATTTACTAATAAACAGTAATTTCATAAGATTGTGTGGTGTATTTCCAGTTTTAAGTTTTAAATGCCATTGGGCGGAGAAGGAGAAGGAGAGGAGGCTTACAACCTCTCGGTCCTTTCTACTCTTTCATTTCATGTAAAGATGCATTATGTAAGAGCAAATCTGTCTATTGCAGGTCTTTATAATTTGGCTTCAAATGTTTTATAATTTATTATTTAGACATTTAATCACATGGTAGGGTGACCCATGTACTCACAGAAATACAGTCCACCGCTGATAGTTTGAGAGTACCACTGAAGCGTGCACATTCGCCGTGCCGAGACCAACTTTCTGACAGTATGATACTATAAATAGCCATGGCGCGTGCAATTCTCTACAAATCTATCAACTATTACAGCCGTAAAATATTTATTGTTGACGATTTTGAATAGCAGTAAAATTAAGCTTCTTGGTTATTACAGCAGATTTAGAAATTACGTTCGTTTCATTTTTTAAATCGCTTTATCATTAACTGTACCGTTAAGAGCGGCATCTTTTGGTTTAGTACAAATAATATCTCTGAATCACTCGGATTAGACAGGAACATGATACTAGCAGTAGTTTCATTTTACTTTTACAAGCTTCTTAAAACGATTGTTGAGCTACCTAACGTGCTTATTTCTAAATTCAATTTCTTGTTCTAGCTTTCTGTTATGTTTCGTAAAAAAGTAGTCTTGATTATCCCGACCTGTCAATCAGACGTAGAATGGTCGATAGACTGGTTAAGCGAGACTAATTTCAAAACAAGGGCACGTAACCTATCTTTTACTCAAAAGTGTCTGGATGTTATGGACGACTCTTGGAACCAGTTTTCAGTCTATTATTTATACGTGATTAATGGTCATAGCTTATTAAGTACAACATGATCGTTTATTTAGTGACTATAATTGTGTGAAACTGATTTGAGGCTTGGCATATATATAAATATTGTGGCGTAATTGTCGAGATATATGGAGATATTTATTTATGGTGGGTCACCCTACACATGGCAAGCCCATAATCAACTCTCTAGATTATCCGATGGATTGCAATTTCGAGTTGTCTGAAACACGGCAATCAAGACTATACTGTCAGCACTTCAAAGGTTCATAGTTTTCGCTCACAAACCCGTAATTTGTTTGACTGAAGTGTTCAATATAAGTTTGTTTCATTATTATCTATTGGGGTGACAGATTTTTATTCATATGACAGACCCAAAATCAACTCTTTAGACCATTGGATGGTCAATTATTTAGACATTTATTCACTTGACGAGCCGATAATCAACTCTCTAGATCATTGGATGATGGATATTTTAACGGAATGAAACATGATCGTCATTTATTTTAAACATTATTTATCAATGTTTAGTGTTGATGATTAACAAGTACCGTGGTTAGGATAATAAACAGTCTATTCACACATCTTGTCAAAACTACAAACAGTGATAACTTGGCTTAGAATAGTGTTATTTGAATAACATTTTCAATATATTCATTTTGCATTATCAGCATTTGAACTATTTTAGAAAAACCAGTCAATTCTTTAGCTAAATCTTACATAATGCATCTATGATATATTTCTACAGGGGGTTGTGGGATTTCTTCAGACCCCTACGTGCAAGCAAATTATTGAAATAAAATGGAGCCATATGTTAGTCTCGAAATGACCTAGTTTGTGTCGAGTGGTTCTCTCTTTATGTAAATTTTTACACAGCTGTACAAAGCTATCGTTTATGTGTCTAATTATTGCTTTTTGTGTTGTGTATAATAAATATTTCCAATGGTGGAGGAGGTATATTAGATTGTCACTTGTGCCTGAATGTATAAATATTTATAAATGTTCATCCAGATTTGATTTGTTATATGGTTTTTGATTGGTCATGGAAAATCTGTTAGCCAATCATAATTTGAAGCATGATGATACTCAGTTCAGGAGGGGTTTTGTTGTTACATGCAGGATCAGGAATCCAAGGGACTTTGGTTTAGTGGGTTAATTGTCATGGTGTATAACACATTATGATAGAACAGTTTTAATCGATCATCCCTTATAACACGTTATAGTCTATAACACATTATTGTGTATAACACATTATGATAGAATAGTTTTAATCGATCATCGCTTATAACACATATGGTGTATAACACATATGGTGTATAACACATTATGATAGAACAGTTTTAATGGATCATTGCTTATAACACATTATGGTGTATAACACGTTATAGTGTATAACACATCACGGTGTATAACACATTATGATAGAACACATTATGGTGTACAACACGTTATAGTGTATAACACATTATGGGGGAACAGTTTAATCGATCATCGCTTATAACACGTTATGATGTATAACACATTATGTGTATAACATATTATGGTGTATAACACATTATGATAGAACAGTTTTAATCAATCACCAGTTATAACACATGATGTATAACACATTATGATGTATAACACATTATGATGTATAACACATTATGATAGAACAGTTTTAATCGATCATCGCCTATAACACGTTATGATAGAACAGTTTTAATCAGCCATTGCTTATAACACTAATATTATAGTGTATAACACATCATGGAAGGATAGAGTTATAATATATAATATATTATGGTATGATAGAGTTGTGATTGTTTGTAAGGATAGATTTAATCTATGTTTGAGGACAGTATATAATCTAGTGATTATTACATGTTATAATAGATTAAATATGGTTTAATCGTTGGCTTGTTAATTTACATGGTTGAACAGATCCAGTGTTCAAACACTGGCCTAGCCCTTTGGTCTTACTCCCATGACGGCCTGTTCAAACACTGGCCTAGTCCTTTGGTCTTACTCCCATGACGGCCTGTTCAAACACTGGCCTAGCCCTTTGGTCTTACTCCCATGACGGCCTGTTCAAACACTGGCCTAGTCCTTTGGTCTTACTCCCATGACGGCCTGTTCAAACACTGGCCTAGCCCTTTGGTCTTACTCCCATGACGGCCTGTTCAAACACTGGCCTAGCCCTTTGGTCTTACTCCCATGACGGCCTGTTCAAACACTGGCCAGTCCTTTGGTCTTACTCCCATGACGGCCTGTTCAAACACTGGCCTAGCCCTTTGGTCTTACTCCCATGACGGCCTGTTCAAACACTGGCCTAGTCCTTTGGTCTTACTCCCATGACGGCCTGTTCAAACACTGGCCTAGCCCTTTGGTCTTACTCCCATGACGGCCTGTTCAAACACTGGCCTAGTCCTTTGGTCTTACTCCCATGACGGCCTGTTCAAACACTGGCCTAGCCCTTTGGTCTTACTCCCATGACGGCCTGTTCAAACACTGGCCTAGCCCTTTGGTCTTACTCCCATGACGGCCTGTTCAAACCTTCCGCCTTCTGACTTATTGGGGGGGGGGGGGTGGCCGAATGGTTAGCACGTGCATGAATTATCATAAGGCCTGTCATTGAGTCAACTTGCGTGGTTTCGAATCCACGGTTGTATATGACAAGGAGTAGGGTCGCCTGTCCAACCTCGTGGGTTTTCTCTGGGTCCTCCGGTTTCCTCCCACTGCTAAAGACCCCTACGCGCAAGCGAATTGTTGAAATAAAATTGAACCATGTGTTAGTCTCGAAATGACCTAGTTTGTGTTGAGTGGACGTTATAAACCCCATCCTTCTCTCTCTGAATTGTTTGAGAGGAGAATAAAGGGTTCTAGGAGTCTTCCACTCTGTTTTATTCACCGAACCATATCTGTGAATTCTCGTTTAAAGGCTCAATACCACTCTTGTTGTAACTGAATAATATGTCCCAATCTTTATTCTGGTCAACAAATTGTAGGCTACTATTTTACAATATTTCAATTAATTGATGATACAAATGTCATCTTAACACACCTTATTTAAAAATTTTGAAAAATTCAACATAATGGTTTGAAACATCTAACGTAAACCTTTTCAAATGAAACTTCAATTTAAAAATATTTTCGAACCCTCTGGACAAGTAAAATTGGATGTAATGGGTAATTTACACAACAGGTAGGACACTTGAACATCTAATACTTAGAATAATGCTATTATTTATTTTCTGGAGCTTTCAAGCCAGCAAGAGTGTTATTGTCCCTTTAAAGTCTCTGCTCGTCCTTGGGTCTATTTTCAATCCCTTATAAAATATACCGTGGCCGTGTTGAATCCCTAGAAGGAGTACATCTGTCCACAAATGGTTCCAATCGGGATCCACCGCAGATCATATCTAATATGATGTGCACGTAAATTTAAGAAGTTTCGACGATACGTAACCATAGAAGGTAGTTTGTTGACCAGACGTTAAACCCTATTAACATAAATTAACCGTTCAAATTAAACAAAATCAAACTGAGGCCATCTTTCTAACAGACGCAGATCTGTAATGTGCGCAACTGAAATTGTTGAAATCGGGGAAATTATTAAAGTTACTGAAATATTTTATTTAACAATAGGATTATTATTGTTGTATAATACGGTCATATTTACACAAACAAATAAACAAATAAAAACAATGGTGATGAGGCGGTGTATTTTTGGTATGTCAATACTGTTGTTTACAGATGCGGTAGGTGTAATGTCTATACAACACAACTGGGCCATTTGTTTAGAAAAATAGGGTTTTATTATTCAACCGTTTAGCACTTCTTTCATTTCAACATCCCTAGTTCAAAGAATCTGTTAGGCAGACTGACTAAAACATCTGTATTTTATAAAGTGGTGATTGGGACCCACAAAAATAAAACAGATGTTTTTTTGTAAAGCAGTGATCAGGGTGTCAGAATATTTTAATATGAGTTTAATAAAGGCCTAGCTGGAGATAATGTGAGTTTAATAAAGGCCTAGCTGGAGATAATGTGAGTTTAATAAAGGCCTAGACTGGTGAGAATGATAACAAATCTGTTACCAAAACACTTGACAATATCTACCTATATAATTAACCACGTGCAAATATCTATATATATAATTAAACTCTACAAAATCTATAATTATTTCACCTGTAATTAGTTTAGACAGGTAAACAAACCCTCTATTATAATCATCTTAACCTGATAATCACGACTACATCCATCTATAATTATAACACGATCAACCAGTATGATATTACAGAATCTATATAAATATGAGATAAGAGAGGATACCTATTAGAGGTTTACAACCAGAGAGTTTTATTGTTAAAGTCGACATTCAGACTCTTCATATACTTCAGTGATGGTTAAATGATGCGAGTAATGTTCTTCCCTCCTATACATACAACAACAACCTGTTTTATTACAAGACATATTGTCCACGTTTTGTTAAATTTCATATAAAATAAGTTAAATGACCAGTGTTCAGGCAGTAAAACACCTGTAATTATTATTTACCTGAGGTATCTAGACAGGTTAATTGATGTGTGACGTAATACAATGAATCAAGGAACCAGATGTTAACATGTAAAACTGACCAATACCATCTTTTTCTTGGTCAATTCTCATCAAGTTTTAGTTTTATTCTGATCAGGTCTGTGTGGAATGAGGGAGAGAGAGAGAGAGAGAGAGAGATGGGGTTTAACGTCCACTCGACACAAACTAGGGCATTTCGGGACTAACACATGTTTCAATTTTATTTCAATTATTCGCTTGCGCGTATGGGTTTTTAGCAGTGGGAGGAAACCGGAGGACCCTAGGTTGGACATGTGACCCTACTCCTCGTCACGTACAACCGTGGAGTCGAAACCACGCCAGTTGATTCAATGACAGACCTTATGATGCAGCACGCACGTGTTAACCATTCGGCCATCCAGCCCTCCGTTTGAAATGAGGTATTTTTGACATTTGTTACTGGATGAAATGACTAAATTAAAATAAAACTGAACTGTGAATACATATTATGATGTTCAGGTTATTATTAATAAAATATTCAACAATCTGATTAAAAAGATGACACCTGCACAATATTGCACCCATGGGTCACATTATTAAATTCTACAGAAAAGAATTACAATTTTATACACAGTCGGAGCCACGGTGGCTATGTGAGTAAGACGCCGGCTCGCTAGCCTGAAAGTCGCGGGTTCCATCCCAGTGTTGGCCGTGAAAGTTCATCGAAAGTTCACCCTTGTCAGTGGTCTGCTGTTCAGTCGTTCCGATGGGACGACAAACCGAGGTCCTGTGTACATATTGGCGTGCACGTAAAGGATCCATTGACAGTTGGAATTCGATATAAGAGTAGGCCGTAGCGCCGTTGTCAGGACAAAATTTCCCTCATAGCACAGCGTATTGAATATGTCCGTCTTCATTAGCCCGGTCGGAACAGAATAGTAGGACGTTAAACCCCATTTTATTTCATTTATACACAGTCTGGACACCATTAAATAAACTCTGTAATCAAGTCATTTAGGGGTAAAAAATTTGATCGATCGTCTACATAATATGACTTATCATATCTCTGGTGAGACCTATGTTCAGATCAGTCTACATATGATCATATCACCAGTGAGCCCTGTGTTCTAATATGTCTGGGAACGAACGGAACATAAAAATATTTGACGTGATTTTTCGTGCAATCTGGGGCCATAATCCCCGAAGTTAAGGTCCGATACATGTCAATGTCTTTTGGAGATAAACCTATATTTCAAGTTTCGTCAAAAAAGGATAAAAATTGTGACCTGTAGAGTGTACATAAACAAATTTTGGACGGAATCGAGACGGACCGGGACGACGACAATTTACGTTCACATGAAAATGAATAAAAAATGTAAACCGTTTCATAAAATTTCATTTGTTTTTATTTAAATAAAACAAATATAAAATACAAACAATTTTAGTGATAAATAATGAATTATATTTACATACTTAGTTTGAATTCAAATCAATTAATTATAAAACAAAATTATTTCTTTACCGTGGTATTCCCACTTTATAACTGATATTTTAGAAGAAAGAAAACCAAGTCGGTACTAAAACCGAAGCCGGTACCGAAACTCAAGTCGGTACTAAAACCCAAGTCGGTACTAAATAATATATATTCACTGAAAGGAAATATAATTTATTTTTTAGTGATGAGTTAAAAATCGAAAATCCTGTTTAAAATGAACATTTTTCGTATAGGATTTATCACACTTTCACTTCCAAGTCTGTTTACTAAGCTCCTAGTATAATATTACAATATGACCCGTCCTATTATTGTCCTATATTAGACATCCCATGGTGTATTATTGTCCCATATTACACATCCCATGGCGATATTATAACGTTGATTTGAATAGAAATACAATAAGAATGTCGATAATTAAGTTGAATACACGTACACCACTTTTATATCTTATCTGGAAACATGTCCACTCAACGGTCTTCTATAATCCTTGAGTGGCATTTAGTGATTGAGCAGATTAAAAAACACAACACAATTTATATGGAATACAATCACTCTTTTATACACATATAGCACAACACAATTTATATGGAATACAATCACTGGTTTATACACATATAGCACGACGATTGTACTTGATAACGATAAGAGAATACTTGTTGAAACGTCCGTGGTATGTGTCTATAAACCAGTGATTATATTCCATATAAATTGTGTTGTATTTCAATAATATTTAATACTAACATGTATTACAATTATATATACATATTATCACAGTAAAATTATTTATTATTCCAGTATTCACATTATTATTACGTCATATTCTAATTATAGCCCGGACATAATGAAGCTATATATATTAAAAGACCACCTGAACCTAATGTTGGGACCAGCTCAAATTCGCCTACTCCCACGTTAGCCTTAACGGGTAAGCTGGCTAAATTTTTACCTTTTGGACGCCCCGACTTAAAATTACTAGATTATCTGCTTTCTGGAAAGCGTGTTTCGTTTCCTTCTGGTAAACAATTATAACATCATTGGTCAGACAGAATAGTTGGCTGGTAATCTGTGTAGAACCTATATTCTCCTCAGGAATTTTAAACTAGCTCACCTTTAACCATCAGAACAGCGTGCATACTATTCAACAGACGTTTCTATATATAACAGGCATTGTGCCGAGGCCAACGCGATACAATAATATTAGGCATTGCACCGAGGTCGACGCGATATTAATAGATAACAGGCATTGTACCGAGGTCGACGAGTGGATGGTTTGAATTCTTCACACCAAGCACTTACTATGTTGTATAACAGAGTCATCGCGTGTTCTGCTAGGTCATTTCCGCATCTACGACTGGTTGACGGTACCACAATAGACAGTGGATGCTATCCATCTACTGGTATCAGGTCGACGATACTGGAGAAACTAAGAACAAGCTCTCGGTGTGAGATACGTATATATCGCGATCAGATACATATACTTCCAATTCACACATACACATCTTGTGGATTGTGACCAAGGTGTGTCACGTGATAGCTGTCGTCGGGAAATATAGATAAATCATCCACAAATTGATCATTGTCCACGGTGTAACTACCCGATGTTGTCGTGGAATGTCCATCGTCCACGGTGTCTATACTGTACATGTCTATATCGTGGTTATACACGTCACTATTTCTATAATTTATTCTATGATGACGTAATTCCGTCCTTCCACCATATCGTGTATTTATATTGTCATTATATTGATGAAAACCGTCGCCACTCTGTGTAAATATTAAATTATTTTGTTTATTAAAACTTTGAGTCGTTTGTTTATTATTTCGATTATCATATTTATATTTTGAATTGTCTAAATATTGATAATTTTCTGACACATGTTTTAAACAAGGGTCTCGATTGTCATATTTCTCACTATTTGGTGTTAAATTTTCTTTATTTAAACCCGATGGTCTATTTCCGCTAGCCTTGATTTTTAAACTATCCGTGGCATTCACGTTATGTCTGGTATGATGGTGACTAGGCGGTGTCCCGGTTTTAACAGATCTCATCTGTTCGAGTCTAAAATAAGCTGGCGGTTGAATGGAACCTTTAAATGTCATCATCTGTTTTCTCGGACTGTTTGGAACACTTGTGGCACCATCGTCTGGAAAAAAACATTAATAAGGTAACTATTAATAAGGGAGTAAGGAACTGACTCACTAATAACCCCTAACCCCGGTGTTGGTCTTGAGAGTTTCCCCCATTCCATTTCCTGTTATTTTCATTTATTTATAATAACTTTAGATTAATCTCATATTGCTATCTGGAACACCTGTTGTTGTAACGACACGTTCCAGTGATCAAGTCATACATTTGCCATCTTGTATGCATGGACTTTGAGTTTGATCCCGGTTTAAAATTGATGATAGTATCAGGCCCCCCTGTGAAAAAATTTTCGACCATAAATATACATTGTCCGTCAATATTACAGCACCCCTGTGAACACTTATCGCCCCCCCCCACCCCCTCGTTGTTCTGAGCTAGTTAATTGGTACTATATTATGTACACATAACTTGGACCCCTTAAGATCAATCGTAGTATAATATACATATAACTTGGACCCTTTAAATCGATGGTATTAAACGCGGAACCATTCCAGTGTCCATGGCACCGCCCACAACCTATTGTACAAAATCCATATCTACCTTGACCTTCACCTTCACTGGCACCACGTCCACTGTCACACCCATTTGTCTCCCCTGATACACTACTCAACACATCACTCATCTCGGTTTCCTGAACAAAATACAAAAAAATAAAATAAAATAAAATAAATTATCACATGGGATTGGATAATACATCTTATTTCATGAATTCCTCAAGAAATGGCCATGGGACTGGATAATGCATGTTTAAATATAACCCACAGAATTCTAATATCATAAATACCACAAGGAATGGCCAATTTGGTATTCATCATTTTAAATCACGATACATTAACCCACATGATTAAGACAATCATCCTATTAGCTGATGAACCAGAAAGATTTTCCCCTGTAAAAATTACAGACTTAAACCAAGAAATTCGTTTTTATTGATTCAATTAACTGAACCCTGAAACGGTGTTTAGCAGACTATAAAATAACACTTTACAAACAAAGGAATAAAATTCTCAAAGTTTCTGGAAATAATTAATTATACTCGGGATTAAAAGGCGGTTAGTGAATCTATTATAATTATTAGCCGAAATTAAACTGTATATACCAGCATCTTATGTATTCCTTAATCTTTCTGTATCAACTAATTCAATTTAATTAAAACTTGGTGATCAAACGATCGTAGTGTGAATAAGACGGGTTTCTATTCATTTAATAAAACGAACCGACAGTAGATCTAAATTAAACCAATTATTTTTATATAAAAAGGTAAACTCTCTGATTAAACGATGAGTTGATGAAGTAGAAAGCGTACCCCAACAATAACCTTGAACATAACACCACGACAAACAAAAGATTGGTTCGAAACCTTGAAGATAATACACTCGTAGGACAAAAGATTAGAATGGATAAATTAAAAGTACAAACGATGAAAGCATCCCGTAGGTAACAAAACCATTTAGAATAGGCCATTGTCAATAATACGTATTAAATACATGATATAAACAGCAAGAATTGAATCGTATTAGATGCATGAAGTAAAGAACACAGGAATTGAAACGCATGACGTAGTAAACAACACAAGAATTGAATCGTATTACACGCATGACGTAAACAACATAAGAATTGAATAACAAGAAATTTAAATGACCAACCTTTGAAAAGCTACAGTCACCGCCATCCACTTGATATTTCTCTGCTAGTTTCATTTTAAAGACGATTAGCTCGTCATTAGAGGGTGGGGGAGCCTTTAAAGATTCTCTCTTGAGGTGTAAAGTTGTCTCGTCACTGTCGTAAACATGTACACCCTCCTTGTACATCGTATCACCAAGATTCTTCATATCGTATTGAGAATGTTGTTGTAAATGTTTTTGTTTATCAGTGCGTTTTAATAATAAAACAACTGTAAGAACTAATATAGCAACTACTAGAGTTATACTAACTATTATTATAACTATCAACATATTGTGTTCAGTGTGATTTATATAAGCTAAAGAAGTAGAATTTCCTTCTACTATAACCATGGTAAAATTAACAATAACAGATTTCGACTGTAAACCTCGATCAGACACCTTCACTGATACACTAACATTACCACAATCTTCTAAACTTAATTGTTTATTTAAAAATATAACTCCAGAATTCTCGTCGATTATAAAATATTCGGGTTTTTCTGAATATTTTAGTTCATAAATTAATCTAGAATTATCTCCTTCGTCCTCATCCACGGCTTCTACATGGAGAAGTTCGGTTCCCGGAACAGTCTGGTAAAAGACGTTGATGGAATCGACAGAAGAATTTGGGAAGCTAATAAAAGGTTTATTGTCGTTTTCATCCAAGATATAGACATTAATTTGAACATCACCAGATTGTTGTGGAACTCCCAGATCGTAAGCTGTAATGATAAAACTATAAACGGCTTGTTTTTCTCTGTCCAGAGTTTGTTGAGTTGATAAATAACCGGCTTTTGATAAAATAAAAGGTGAAGTAGAATTAGTTTTAATCCTGTAATTAAGGCGGCCATTATTTCCGCTATCTACATCATGAGCTAGTAATTTACCCACAAAAGCCCCAGGGGCTGAATTCTCTTTGACGTTAAATATATAAACAGGTTCATTGAAGTAAGGTGAATTGTCATTTTCATCAGTTATTGTTAAATATACGTTTACAATAGCAGAAAGAGGCGGGATTCCCTCGTCTACTGCTATTATAGATATATTCACGTGCTTCTCAGCCTCGTAATCAAAGGAACCTAACACAATGACGTCACCTGTTGTTTCATTCACTTCAATTGTTGGCGTCATCTCAGAAACATGACCAAGTTTGTACATCACGTGTCCATTTTCTCCGACATCTTTATCCGTCGCCCGAACTTGCAATAATTTTAATCCATTTTCATTATTTTCTGATATGTTGATAGAATATTCAGATTGTTCCAAAACTGGTGGATTGTCATTGACGTCATACAGCAGAACTGTTAAACTGACTTTTGATTGTAATGGCGGCTGTCCGCCATCTTGACACACCAAAGTTAGTTGATAATCAGATTTAACTTCGCGATCTAAAACCTGATTCAGTATTATTTTGTATTGATCAGGTTTGATTTGTCGGACACTAAATTCAGTAGAATTTGGCACTTGGCACGAAACGTCTCCATTTATTCCAGAATCCACATCTTCTGTGACGAAATGTGCGACTAAGGAGCCGACACTGGTCGCTTCACTGAGATCAACGGTATGATTAGTTGATACTAGATTCAGTCGAATGACAGGTGGAGTGTTAACATTATCTAATACTGTAACATGGACGATACATTGCGATATTTTAGATTCAATCCCTCCATCCTTTGCTTCCACGATAACACTTTTGGTTTGACCTTGAAGTGGCGTCAATGATGCAATAGGATAAACATCGCCATTTCTTGAGTTTACAGAGAAATAATTCACCACATTAAAGTCAGTTTGTCTGGAACTAAATCTATAAGTAATTTGTCCATTTTGATGAAAGTCTCGGTCTGTAGCAGAAACTGTAACTATGGTAACATTTACAGGAGCTGTTTCATTAATGCTGACGTTATAGACGGTGTTTAGAAAACGAGGCTTGTTGTCATTGACGTCCGTTACGTTAATATAAAGTTTCATTTCGCCTGATCGTCTCGGTTGGCCGCCATCTTGTGACATAACTGTTAATTCGTATCGAGAAACAGTTTCTCTATCTAAAGGTGATTGTAAAACAATGCTTACTTCCATACTACCGTCCAGTTTTCTTTGTGTTTGTATACTAAATACATCACTAGCTGGCACCAGTGAATAAGATTGAACGGAGTTATTCGCCCCTGTATCTAAATCTGTGGCGCCATCTATTAAAAATGACGTGCCTGGCGGCGATGATTCTAAGAACGATAACTCAGACGATGATCGGAGAAATATCGGAGAATTGTCATTAATGTCCACTATCCGGACAGATACTGTTAACGTTTGGAAAAAAGATGATCCGGCCAACAAAGACTGTATTCCTACATTCAGTGTTAATATACACAAAACTTGAAACCGACAAACCGTTTCTCTGTTTATCCTTTCCCTTGAAGAAAGAATCCCTGTTGAATTGTCTAAATGGAACTTGGTACTTCCGGTGGATGAAAATAACCGGAAACTGAGTAACGGAAGTTCCCCAGATGATATGACAGATGAAACGTTAGAGTCGGTAGATAGATCAGCGATACGAACTGGCGGTTCCTTCTCCTCCTGTACATCATAATACAGTTCTTCAACGATCTGTCCTGCCACATTGGTTATCGACATCATGGCACCGGCTGCTATAATTAGTAAAGACACACAAGCCATTGTTGAAATTATATGAATACAGTTATTCGATCAGAGTCTGTCAAGGTTTGACGAACTAGATTCTGACGGTTCTCAACTTCTCATGACGTCGATCTTTATGACGTCTCTATCAAATGAAACACGTGGTATAATATAACTCCTATGAATACTAACACCGTGGGATATTAACTCTAACTATAAATCCTCGGGTTTATCATGAATACAAGCACCAGGGGATATTAACCAACTATAAAAACTAGATTTTATCACGAGTTGAAATCTGATGCAGTATTTTACTTTCTAAATGTAACTTGAATCAGTTACCTGATCACACCTGTACTTGATGTCCACAGGTAAAATTTACCTTAATAAATATCCTATTCTATTTTATTGTTCACCGATCGTCTTTCATTAAACCTACCACAGTTGCCACAAATGAATCCACTTTCAAATCTACATTTATAATCGTTTGTCGCTTCACTTTCTTGTATTAAACTGTAATTTTAATTTAGGAGAACTTGTCGTGTAATATTGATAAACACTTGATGGAAGAATTTAATCTAATTTAAATACCACAACCCAATAAAACGCTGCAGAACATCCAACATAATATAATACAGTTTCCTCCTTGTTAAATATCACATTATTTGTCCAATAAAAACTAATTATTGTTTTTGAAAATATTCTCAGATATCACGATATTTATAAACTGTAACATTTGTCGAGCTGACTGTTCAATATAATCTAATTTAATATCTTGTTACTCGAAGATCAATTGTTTGTTGATATATTATTATCGTACAGTAAGTAGACTTCAAGTTACAGTTAGTACAGGGTATCACGTGTTATTTAATGTTTTGTTGGCTGACTGTTTTTAAAGTTCACTTGATTATGTTGAAAAGGTTGCAGTGGTGTTCGTGTTTTAGATTTAAACTTCAGTAATTAAAACAAATACACATGTAGACAGTCGAGATAGATATACAATGTATTATCTTATTTTACATCTAGTTATAAAACTCCACTGACTGTCAAACTGTCCAGTATATTCTTGTTTATCCTTAAAGATTCTGTTATTAAGGAACAACACAACAGTGTCCTCTGTATCTGGTTTTAATAAATCCAGCTACATCGTTTCTACACGTAACTCTGTATCTTCTTAAACACCATCATAAGATACCCCAACATCTGTATAAACAGGTATTCAATAACTTACGTATAATTCACATGCAACGTTTCAGTACGTGTATTTAAATCACAGCTGTGTTTCTCTAATTAAGTTTTTCGTTACTTGGATGTTATGACCTGGCTCTTAAATTGTTTTTCCTCCAGTAAAACGGTTAATGGTGAATCTTTCTTATACTCGGTTTAATCTGTCGCTGTAACTATTTCACGGTTACTGGTCTGTTTAACGACGGATTATACAGCCAATCTGACACATTGTTACAAATATATCTGTTAAGACACGCCCACAGTCACTCATCTCCACCAATCATCGAACAGGATACTTGATCTCTGTACCGCGTGAAGTATTAAGGTTCATCATGACAATCGGATATCTGTACGTTTGGGTTAATCCTAAAATTCAAACAAACTCGCTCAGTTAAGCCGCTTGTAATACTTGTAAAGAGAAATATTTTTCAAGATTACTTCATGGTGTTCAATAGAGTTTTTATAAAATATACAAGGTGTATTTTCTGGTGATTTAGTTGAGTTAGAGAGATTGTATTTATTACGAGTTCTCTAGCTGATCCTAGTTTAATATCAAATTACAAGGGATATATTGGTACGTCCTCTGTAAATTATTCTTGCTGGCTCTAACTTATAGAAGCTTATTGTTACAATCTGTTTATATTATACAAGACATGTATAAAAGTATTGCCAACATCTGAAATAGTTCCAGGTGACTAATATCGTTTAGCATAGGAATAACGCGTACCGATTTGCATATAGCTATTTAGTGGGGCTTTGATTATATTAGAAACTTTAAAAAATATTGTTCGGCCCTTGCATTTGTTACATGGTTCGTGAAAAGTTTTCAATATGAATTTTATTATTACCAACACTTTGTAAAATAGGAAAAATAACAAAATAACAAATTTCATTTGTGTATAATTCTGTGATATTTATTTATACATCTGAAGGCGATAATGAAAGAAAGTTCATAGAATCAGAAGTTAATTCTGAATTTGATTTTGAAAACTGGTTGAGATTTGATTTTATTTTATTTTAGGTGTCGCTAAAATAATGAAAATCCTCAGAACGGGTAGTTGTTTAAGTGAGAATATAGTACATTAATAAAGTTGTTAAGATTTAGTTTTAATTTATGCGAACAGATAGTTGTTTAAGTGAGAATATAACACATTAATAAAGTTAATATTGTACAACATTAATTCTATAAATTATGTACTCTCATGTTCATCTAACGACAAGGAGAACTATATGACATTTATCAATGATAACACGTGAGCGCGAGACCTAGCAAGCACGAGACAGGATTAAAGGGCAAACAAATAGGTGAAGTTTGTCTTCAAATTCTTCCTACAAAATTTAGTCAATCAGTTGAACAAGGATTATAACACGAAACGAAAACAAACTCACAGATATGTGAATTAGAAGGAAGAGGGTTGATGCTGGATTTGTCTGCTGTATAAATACAAGTCAACAGTTTGTCAATATGAACTGTTAAACATAGCGTACAGGTTGATCTAAAATAACTTCTACTGACTCATAGGTTGGGATGAACCGTTATATAATCATAGTAAAAACTTCAGTAACCCTGAGGGAAAACTTCCTAAAATTAATTTAATAATTTTCTTTCAAAATGTCTCCGTTAAAATCTAATACAGACTTGAAGGAAATTATAACGTCTTTGTTAATAAATTCATTTAATATTTTAGCATTTAGGCTTATTGTCATTCATTTAATATTTTAATTACATTTATTGATAAATATTTTTTTTTATTTGTTATTTGAGATTATTTCTTACAGTCCATACCTTTATGATTATTTACTGCCTAAGAGTACAACTAACTATATAAACTCTACCATGGAGAAGTGGTATCAGATGTTCTGAACACATTCTACTTCGCGAGTGATATTAAAGATATTAACGTAAACTATACCAGGTTGTGGAGAGACTCGTGTTGTTTTATAGTAAACTATACCAGGTTGTGGAGAGACTCATGTTGTTCTATATTATCATGTGGACGAGAATGAACATTTCTCATCTTTATTATTCCAATTGATACAGAAAAGTAGTGCATTAGCCCCATATTAACAGATTCCTAAAGATATTTGCCATTTCCGATTTATGCGCTTATTTCTAGATTGTGTATTTCTAGATTGTGTATTTCTTGATTGTGTATTTCGTTTTAATCTGATATTGATAGATTCATGAAGTTTTATTGATCATTTCCATATTTTATGCTAATTTCTAGATTGGGTATTTTTTTAAAAAAAAGAAAACATATATCTGTGCCGCCATGATAGTTTGGTTAATAATATTTCCATTGTTGTAATTCCCCCTACCTATGAAATTTAAAAATTAGACAATATAGAATTATCGGACGTTTTTTTTATTTGATTATTTACGAATGTCATTTCATGACTGTTACAACGTGGTGTTGGAATTAAGATGATGATGTAATAATTCCTTTCAGTTGACGCTGTAACCATGAAACATATTTGAGCACAGCATGATAAGAAGGACTACATGGTGTTTACTTTCTACCCATATGTAGCAAGCTGGACGACGAAGACTACATGCTATTTAATTTTCTCTCCATAATGTAACAAGCTGGGCCTACTATTAATCAAACCTTGTGGGGAGATAGAACAACATTTCCTGGGGTGAAAATGGCCTTTTAGCTAAATCAAAATAAACACAGTTCTAACGATTGTTAGTTTGTGTTGACTAAACTATAAATAAATAAATAAATAAACTCGGTTATTAACGTAACCAGAGAGTCTAGTATCAATGATGAAGGTGGATTTTCATACAATAATAAAAAGATATAAATTTGAGTTATGTTCATTAAAATCTGAATACTAATTTGGTTTTAATTTGCTTTTTCGACAATTTATAACTCGTCCATGAACGGGATTCGGCAAGGCGCACTACTCAAAACTATGCTATTTGACATCGTCATCAATGAATGTGAAATAAAGCAAGATTTTCTGTTTACAAAATTCCGCAAGGCGCATTACTGAGACCTGTGTATTTTTATATATTCATCAATGAATTTAATATAAAGAAAGGTTGCTGGTGTGTAAAATCTCAACCGATTCTATATGTTTAATTCCGTCATTTCGGAATGAACACGATAACGGCCGTGGTAGATCTGTACCCAATACAAACTGGTTAAAAGGATGGAAGTTGTATATTTCCCTATAATTTCACAAATATTTAAAAATAAATTCCCAGGGTAAATCGTACAGATAACTAAAGCGGATTGAAAATGTCATAGTATTTAACGCCAATTTTCGTACAATAGATTATGGGTGGCACTCCTGGGAAAATCAACCCAACGAAAACAAATTCTATCATTAAAATCAACTCTCTAAAGAACCTGTACATGGTTAAAGAAAACGTGTTATAAACCCTTGGATAATTCAAACATTTCTTGTGTTCTAAAACCAGAATCTAACGAGTTAGATATCTGAAGTTGTTTTTAGACCCGAGGGTAGCTTACAAGTTTATAGCGTGACTGTTTGTAGGGATTTTACACGTTCTTTTGGTAGTAAAACAATTTGAAGTAGTTGATGGCGTGAATGTTACAACAAACTTGTGAAGGTTTTTATCCCCCTTGCTAGGTTATAAATACAATCTGTAACTCAACACTCGGTGTGTTAAAAGACAGTGGTTTAATGCTGTGGGGAAGAGTCAAGTGATTTGTAAATGTGTTAGGTGAAAAGTGTGACCTTCGATAAGACAGAGAGATGTTCAATTATATTCCCTTGAGATATTGGTCTTATGTTGGTTGTAAACAGAAGGAAATCCTCGCACCTTGAAAACAAAAACAATCAAACTAAAACCCCTTGAGAAATTCTGCATTTGTAAGATTTCTTTATTTGCTTCGAGATGGTCAAAAAGTCAAAACCCCCGTTCTTTGTTTTGGAAAATTGTTTTATAAAAGCCCTGAATGGAGAGTAAAAGTTCAGAGGAAATTACCGCGAATCATAGATTTTATCAGTGAAATTAGACGATTCTCTTGAATTAACACTGTAGTCTAGTGTTAACAATTACCAATTAAACAGTTTACCATTTAGTGTTTCCTATACACGACATCTTATCGTTAATCAGAGATGAAAGTTTGGAGGCAGGGGATTAAAGTAAATTATTTCACATTGTCGTACGGTGGAGAAGAGAACTAATTAAAAAGTTTACCATTTTGTGTTTCATATACACGATTTCTTCTCGTTAATCAGGGAGGAAAGGGGATAAAAGGGGGTATCAAAGTGAAAAGTCTATAGTTATTTGTGTTTTATCGTTTATCAGATCAAGGCGAGTTTAAAGTACAATTTCTCATTATATATAGTACGCTGGAGGGAAGAACTAATTAAAAGGTCTACAGTTTCAATGTGTTACTTCTGATATAGTGCGGTTGAGGACAGACCTAATCAAATAGTCTACAGACTTTCCGTGTTAATTCTGATATTTGAGGACAGAAGGGGACAAAGTGATGCTATGAGTAAGAATAATTAGTTTTAACAGAGTTAGGTTATTAATTAGCCAGTCTGTTGTATTATAATATCTCAGGTACAGAAATTGGTAGAGGGAAACATAACGCGCACGTGTAATTAAAGAAAACACAAGAAAGATATAGATCTAAATAATACGAATTTACAGAGAGAAAACATGAAAACTTCTGTTAAATTTCCAACCTTGTAATTAGCCGTCTAACTCGGTAAGAACAGATTGATATATTACATACACCAGTTGAAGCAACCCAAATACAGGTACAGAAGGTGATAAACGGCGCACCTGTAATTAAAGATAACAGGAGAAAGATATACAATATAGATCTAAAAAAACATCTAAGGTTGTGTTAAATTTGTAGAATTAATTGAGATATACACCCAGTTAGAGCAACCCAGAATTTGTAGGCTTGTAATTACAGGTTTAACTTGATATATGTACACGCCAGTTGGAAAACCCCAGATGCGGCTATCATTTTTTTCAAAGATTAAATAATGTTTGTTCTGTCAATATATTGGTGTTAAATTTTGATATGATATTGTTCACTTGGATTAGTAATAATTGTTTATATAGTTGTCTAGGATTTGGATATGAAGGTTTTTAATTTATGTAGTGTTAATGTGTTGCTTGGGTTCTCTTATTCCAATAGTAATACACTCCCTCGACCTAAAAGTTATTTTAAATAAATGTTGAATTCAAC